ATTCAAGAACCATTAACTCCCTTAAGGGATAACAGCTTCTGTCCATGCTGTAACTATTAACATATGGAAATCTTTAAGGTTTGAAAAAAGTAAAATACAAGGGAACATAAGCAAATGAAATCACACAATTAGCTGATCAACATTAATAAAATTAAAATAATAACAAGGACAATATTGAACCTAAATTATCAATGAATAAATGGAATAAATTCCTATGCCACTCACCAGTGCAACTGAGTGCCCAAGATGAGATACTGAATAGGGATACTCCAAGAGAGATACTTTACTTCAAGTCTGCAAATTATACTTTGGTCATCTATACAGAAAAGATAAAAATATTGAATTTAATTTAAATTGAGTTGGATTGAGAACTGAAGAAATATGATAATCAGTGAAGAAAGACATGAAGGTTGGGCTACACAGTAGCCTAATTTAACCTCCGATAACACTGTGCTATCAGCTACCTATCTGTTATGTGACTCTTCAATGTTTAGAAGATCCCCATTCCTGGAGTGTTTTTTTTTTATATTGAAGCCAGTTAAATGGTCAATATTTAGCTCGTTACATTGCTCCATACAAACTTTACAAAGCTAATGAATAGACTTATCAATTTTAGTTTACCCAAAAGTTCCAAAGTGGTAAACACCACATTGGCCATTCTTGAAGGCCATAACTGCCCTTTTTAGCCATCCATATACTGTTATTGTAAGTAGGCTAACTGCAACATAAAAAAATAACATTTTAAAAAGACAAAGTAGCTGTAAAAATCAAATAAATCCAAAAGTAAAATTAAAATCATGAAAAAAATCACCAACCCTGCATTGTATGCTTCAAACATTTTAAAATTGAGTATTATTTCAAGTGTCCCAGATTACCCCGTTCCCAGGGATATTTTGGGATGCTTTTATTTTGCTTCTGGCACCTTACGAATAGCATATGAAATTTTTGTTGATATACCATTTGATAGCCCTTGCAAAGAGCTTTAAAATGAGCCCACACTTGTTAATGAAATGTTTAATGATTAGAAGTTATTAACGAAAAATGCTCAAAACTGTTCCTTATAGCCCCGTTTGACAGTAGTGTTTCTGCTCTCATTACAGACCCTTCTAAATTTATCAAAATTACAGATCTGATTGCTAAAACTATTTTGAAGATTGTGGATAAAATTAATAATTTTTTTAGAAAACTTGAAGATTCTGCTGTACTTTCATCTGTAACTTATTTGAAACTTGATGCCTCTGGCTCTTGCCCAGGTATTTTGTATGGCTTGCCAAAGATTAATAAGCCAGATTTTGCTTCAAAATTTCAGTTTCAACCCATTTCTCTTGCTTACAATACTCCAAGTTTCAAGCTTGTCAAATTTTTGGTCCCACTGTTTAACTGTTTGACAACCAACCAATATACGGTAGACAATTCTTACGTCTTTGTAGACCGCTTGAAGAGTTTCACCAATGTTCAGGTTCTGACCATGGTTTCATTTGATACTGAGAATTTGTTTACTAATCTAGTACCTCTCCATGAAACTATTGATATTTGCCTCAATTCATTGTTCAAAGAGATTAATGACCAGTAATGCAAATTTGAACTGCAAATTTTTTAAATCTCTTCTTGAATTATCCGTTTAAACTCATGTTTTGTATTTGCTGGCAAATTTTACAGACAAATTGACGGCTTGGGCATGAGTCCACCACTAGGTCCTACTTTCGCTAATATTTTTATGTGTTTTCACGAGACTAAATGACTAGCCAATTGTCCTCTTGATTTTAAACCTGTTTTTCATAACCAATATGCCAATGATACTTTTCTACTTTTCAAGCATCCCCTCATGTGGCCCTTTTTGTTGATTATCTAAACCTCCAACAGCAGTCAATAAAATTCATCTTGAAGCTTGTGATAGTGTGCTTAAAAATGTGATTGACAGAATTAGCGTACTATCTCATTCCAGAAAAAATGGCAGCCATTTCCACACAATGGGGTAATAAGGGACAGCCCTAAAAATGCATTTACAGTAGAACCTTGATTAGCAAAGGCTCCAGTTAACAAAAAATCAATTAACAACAAATAATTTTTATTATATTTGCCTCGCTCTGTGAAAAAATTTCACTTGACAAAAAATTAGTGCAGCGTCGATCATCACCAAACTGTGCATAGAACCAAACAGCATAGATAGAATTGTTCACCAGGCAACGTAGAATGAAGACTACTGTCAAACAGGGTACGTAATAAGGGACATGCGGGGTAAATTGGGACGCTCATCACACTTTTCGTAGAAGTGTTGTAGCAACTCAACTAATCAAAATATTGCAAAACTAAAAATAGTGGAGTAAAGTTCAACATTTTTACTATCTACTATTCTACTATGTATAAAGCTAGTTAAGAAATTGTACATTTACTACCTCTAAAAAATTGCTGAAAAAAAGTGTGAAAAGTGCTATTTGGAAAAAGTACCTCTACTAAGGTCAGGAGCAAAAAAAAATATTAGCCATATTAAAAAATTTTACTTGCATAAAAGTTGCACATGGGTGTTGGCTTGAAAACACGATTGACTGAATTTGCCTATCTCATTCCAAAAGGAAATGGCAGCCATTTCCGTGGTGCGACGGGGTACGTAATAAGGGGCACCCCTAAAGACGCATTTACAGTTTAACCTTAGTTAACAAAGGCTCCAGTTAACAAGGAAAATTGAGTAACAACAAATAGTTTTTATTACATTTATCTTGCTCAGTGAAAAATTTCACTTATTGAAAAATTGATGCATCATCGGTCATCACAAAATTGTGCACAGAAGGTCATATATAGAATTGTGCACTGGGCATCGTAGAATGAAGAGCAATTAACCTAAACTATGATTTATTTCTCCAAAACATATGATGATTGTTTCTAAAACATTCCATTCTGTTTCAGGTACCGTAAAATGGGGTAACTTAGACCGGCGAGGTAACTTAGACCACTTTTCATTTTTTAACAAAAACCCCACAACTCAAAAACTATTTGACATAGAAAAATTTTGTCAATGGGCATTAAAGGCCTAATACTGAGGCTACATAACACAATAGAAAGATTTGAAAAGTTTGCATATCTAATAGGTTAAAAAATTAAAAATGTTACCCACGAAAAAAAGCTATTATTTGAAGCCTGTCAGAGTACCCCCTCCAATTTTTTTATTTTTTGGTTAAATAACTCCAGGTTTTGATGCATTGTAGTAGAACTCTTCTAGTTACATATGCAAATGACAAATTTTAGGAATGTGTCATAGTTTGCAAATGGGGGTGCTGCCCCCAAATGGGGTAACTTAGACCACCTAATGTCAGCCCTGACGGGGTAACATAGACTCCACCACTTTTTTTCAAATTACATAAAGACTATGAGAGGCAGGAGCCAGCAATTTATGGTGAGTGAAGCTAGAGTATAGACCTGTATTTTGCACGTTTCAATTCAAGTTTAATTTAGCTAGTAAAAAAATGGCATCATTTATAAAAATAAAAGTGGTCTAAGTTACCCCATTTTACGGTATGTTTTTTACAATCTTTTTCCTTATAGTGAATTCACTTAACCCAATTAAAATGGTGTGAAATTTCAAGCCGTTGTGTAAGCTTGCAGATGCAGAAGAAATGATACATGGCTGCTTATATGAAGCTTGCAGTGGACAAGGTCGTTGTAAATGCTCGATGGCATGTTTATAGATACGTACGGTAATATCACATCAATAATATGGTAATAAATTAATATGGTGATATCATATCAATAGAGGATATACAAGTAAAAAACCACAGAAAATGTCATTTATTCTACATCCACATCATCAACAGAGGCAAAGGAGGAGGACTTCAGAGTATTGTTAGTAATGGATAAGTACATGATGCATGCTTCAAACATTTTACAATTAAGTTTTATTTCGAGTGTCCCGGATTACCCTGTTCCCAGGGATAATTCGGGGCAGTTTTATTTTGCGTCTGGCACCTTACGAATAGCATATGGAATTTTTTTAAGATGCCATTTGATAGCCCTCATAAAGAGCTATAAAATGAGCCTAACATTGTTTATGAAATACTTCATGGTAAGAAGTTATTAACAAAAAACGCTCAAAACCGTCCCTTATTGCCCCGTTTGATGGTAATATACCTAAACTATGATTTAGTTCTCAAAAAATATGATGGTTGTCACTAAATATTCCTTTGTGTCAGGTATGTTCTTAACAATCTTTTTTTGTTATAGTGAATTCATTTGACTCAATTAAAATGGTGCAAAATTACAAGCCATCCCGTAAGCTTTCTTTCAGAAGAAATGCTACATGGCTACTGATATGAAGCTTGCAGTGGACAAGATTGTTGTCAATGCATGATGCTCAATGGCATGTCCATGGATTAGGTAATATCACATCAATAAAACGATAATGTATGGATGAGGTAATATCATATCAATAAAGGAAAAATGAGTAAAAATCACAGAAAATGTCATTTATTCTACATCTACATCATCTACAAAGAATGAGGAAGACTTCAGAGTACTGTTAGTAATAGATGAGCACACTCTGCATGCTTCAAACTTTTTAAAATTGAGTTTTATTTCAAGTGTCCTTTATTACAACATTCCCCAGGTTAGTTCAGGTGGCTTTTATTTTGCATCTGGTACCTTACAAATAGCATAAGGAGTTTTTTTAAGATGCCATACAATAGCCCTTGCAAAGAGCTATAAAATGAGCCCAAACTTGTTCATGAAATGTTTCATGGTAAGAAGATGTTAACAAAAAACCCTCAAAACCATCCCTTATTACCCTGTAAAACAAACCATCCCTTATTATCCTGTTTGATGGTATCTGAGAAGAGGCATTTATTCTAGCCTGTTGAATACATGTCAGCTATGTTATGCATGTCTTCTAGCCTGTTGAATACATGTCAGCTATGTTATGCATGATCTCTATTCTATGTCTCAGAACTGGCTTCCATACTAGCTATGGTAATAATATTCACTCAATCTCTTTAATGTTTTTTTTTTTTCAGATAACTTTGCCATCTTTCACCAACATGTCAGCCACAACCCAGCAGAAAATAATGGTATTTCGTCCCACCTGGGATGAATTTAAAGATTTTACCAAGTATATTGAATATATTGAAAGTCAAGGTGCCCATAAAATTGGCCTGGCAAAAGTAAGATGTTTGAAATTTGTATATCATTGATAATTTTACCTTCACATTAATTTTTTGTTCCAAATTCTGTCTTGATATTCATACTGACAAATATGATTATTACAAATTTGATATATATACTTGACACACAGTTGATAAAATTTTTACCATTTTCTCATGGTTATAGGTACTTCTTTTGAATTGTGAAATTAGAGTTAACACTTAGGTAAAAGGTAAGGTAAGGATTAGGTAAAAAATTTGGCAAAAAAATAAATGTCTCAGTGTAATAATTTCAAACTAGTGAAGATTTGGATTCTTTGATTTCATTCACTAGAAGAAATCTTCCAATTTTATTTATTACTAAAGTGTTTATTGTGATTCACAGATAATCCCACCTCCCGAGTATGTGCCCCGAAAGGCTGGCTATGATGTCAAAGACATTGACATTATCATACCAGCACCCATCTGCCAGGTTGTCACTGGAAAACAAGGAATTTACCAACAGATCAACATACAGAAGAAAGCCATGACTGTTCAGGAGTTCAAAAAACTGGCTGAAAGTGATCGGTACAAGCCCCCAAAACATGATGACCATGAAGATCTGGAGAGAAAATATTGGAAGAATGTTACCTATGTGTCACCCATCTATGGGGCTGATGTATCTGGGACCATAACAGACCCAGATTTGAAGGTATGTGTTGGTGTTTTTACATCTGTGTACCATTCATGAAAATTTTTAATCATTAACTATTTAGTTCTCAGAGATCTGCTTTGCTTCTAACCTTCTATTTTGTGCAGGTATGGAACATAAACTGTCTTGGTACAATTTTGGACTATGTGAATGAAGACTATGGCATCAGCATTGAAGGTGTCAACACAGCCTATCTCTATTTTGGCATGTGGAAGACAACATTTGCATGGCACACCGAGGATATGGATTTGTATAGGTAATACAAATTCTTGGTACTATTGATAGATCAAATGCTGGGCTTCCTGCACTGTAGCCTTAGATAATTTAGTTGGAGTACTCTACATTGAAGAATTTCCTCATACTCACCAGTTTCATACTCAGAAAACCTGTGTCAAATGTTTTGTTACGTTATGCTAGTCAAATATTGGTTTTATTCACTAGTCTTGATGTTTTGGATGAATTCTTCACGTACCATTTTGATTTCCCTGTTACCTAAAGTGTTGTTTGTAGGGCAGTTTATCTGTTGAGAGTAAGGCACATATAATATGCTCTCATTGCACCAAAAATTAAAGTGCTACAGGGTTTCTAATGAAATATGTTCCAGAATAAATTCAAACCTAGATGATGGAAATGAAATCTTGTGCTGGTTGTGAATTGTAGGGATTTTTCACCAGTTTCTTGATTTGCATAGATCTTGGTTATTCGCTAGGCACTTTATAAATTCTTGTACACTGGATTAATGAAATTTTTATGGCGTTATATATGTGTTACAGTATCAATTATCTGCACTTCGGGGCTCCCAAGACATGGTATGTTATTCCTCCTGAACACGGGCGCCGGTTGGAGAGACTAGCTAATGGCTATTTCCCTAGCAGCTTCAAGGCCTGCCCTGCCTACCTTCGTCATAAGATGAGCCTCATATCACCTCAGATCCTCAAACAGTACAGCATTCCCTTTAATAAGGTTAGCTGTTGTAGAAGAACGTGTCAGCAACAATTACTTGTTAAGAATTTGTTTTGTTAACCCTATACCCTTGGGCACCAAGTGAAATGTATTAATGCAAAAATTACAACACGTGCTTTGTACCGGAGTTAATGAAATTTCCTAGAATGCTTTATGATTAGTGCAGCCACTACTTGCTAAGGCATCACTGCCATAAAGTTGCAATGTCGAGCATTAATGTATGCACAACCCACGTGATACAGGAGTTTTACCTTCTCTTTCAATCTATTTCATGCCTCCAGATCACACAAGAGGCAGGAGAGATCATGATCACGTTCCCGTACGGCTACCACGCGGGTTTCAACCATGGATTCAACTGTGCTGAGTCTACAAATTTTGCCATGCCTCGCTGGGTAGAGTACGGCAAGCACGCTACACAATGCCAGTGTCGGTATGTTGTGAGACTTCGCTTCCTCCCTGTTCAGTTACTTTTTAACTGGTGTCCACTTCCACACATTATTGTGAAAAATTTCTTGTTGCAAGAATTGAATTTCTTCTGCATCTATTAGACAAGAAACTTTTTTTTTTGTCAGCACATTAGTTTGAAGTTTAGTTGTGGGGTTCTCTAGCAATGTAACCGAGTGTAAACTGCTTGTTGTTTCTGACTCTATGACTTGAGATATTTCAGTTCCAAAAGTTCAAAGCGTTCCATGTTTTTTCTCCTGAGGCATATGTTGGTCCTAGTTTTGTTACTAAATTGTCATAATCATCTTTCTAAGTATATGCAACATTAAGTTTTATTTGAAATAATTTTTATTTCATTTCAATGTTATTTGGGATTGGTTTGCCTTCTGTTTGTGTGAAATGGAAAATATTTTCCTAAATAATTGTGAAGAGAAATTACTTGATATTTCAAGGTTCGAATTACCTGCTGTTTCTACTTTTTAAAGTGTCCCCAATTGAAAGAAAAACTCTTTAATATCAGAACGATAATGTAAAATAAAAACTTTTACATCATCAAGTTGATAATTTATTGAGTAATTATATTTTATACATATTTGTATCAGTGATACAAATATGTTGCGAGGCAAATGAAGTCACAACGAAATTTGAAATTTTGTAATTTAGTATGTTTTGAACCAGTTTTGTGGTAAAATAAGCTATTCATATAAATATATTGCCATATGCATAAAAAATTTGAATGTTCTTCAGGAGCGACATGGTGAAAATCAGCATGGACACGTTCGTGAAGCGTTTCCAGCCCGACCGTTATGACCTGTGGATAGCTGGCAAAGACGTCGCCCAGTGTCCTCAAGACCCGACACGCTCCTCGGTGGCCGTGCAGCCTTCCATATCTGATATTTTATGCAACAAAAAGTCAGACTTGCATATAACATTGGTCTTAAGTGTTTAGTCATTTCAAATTGCGTTTCAATTACTATTTAAACAATCATTGTAGTGCCTAAGCACATTTCTATTCATTCGTGTTGCACTAGTTCTTCTGAACAGTTATCAGAAATCTAAAACAAATTTGGAGTTTTATAAATTGTTCAAATTAGTACCTATCCTACTCATCTTATTTTTAAACCTGCTGCCGCTCTTAGTTATAATTTATTATTATGTGCCCTTCATTACTGAGTGTAACGTACTTGCAGCAACTCTCTGGACCCCCCTGAGCTGGAGCAGCTGCTCAACTCGTCAGGATCGTCAGGCTGTAAGAAGTTGAAGCGCCACCCTGTGCACCAGAGCAAGCAGCTCGCGCCTGGTGACACAGCTGAGGAACTTCTGCTCACGGGTGATGTGGCTGACGAGGAACTCACGCAGGTCCTTGATGATATCTACGCCAAGGCGGGCGAGTCATGTGAGTTCAGCACTCAGTCTTGGATACATGATATTATTCAGGTTTATGGTGCTGAAGCATCTTGTCTTAGTTCAATACATCAACAGTACCTATGTAGAAAAATTTGGCAGATTGGCGCGGATCAAATATTCTAGCGACATACTGGGCTAGTCAGTTTTTGGGATCAATTATAGTTATTGAATAAAATTACAAAGTAACCCCATAGCTTATAGTTATAGTTAATTATATACACGGGTAAAAAAATACTGATCTGACTAAACCTAAAATATATTAGTAAATATCATCAGGTCGTTCCTGTTCTTTAATAATCACATACAAAAAATGTAAAAAAACACTTAACTTTTCCTGTATATATATTGTGATCAAGTCCATAAGTTTAATTAACAATGAGAAGCATAACATTTTGCCATCAGCAAAATGATCTCATTTTCTGCTATCTGATCTGTATACAGTTTCATTCAGAATTGATTAATTTTGGCCAAAAGATGAAACATAACGATCTATTCATCTGTTATTAAGAAATAAATTCATTATTAGATTTCCCTAGGAAAAGTATCAAAAATATAACTCAGTACTCACTGCAGTGAGTGACAGAGAGCGCATTTTCTCATCGACGAAAACATGAAGTCACGGACGGACAGACGACATGGCGAGCACAATAGTGCATTTTTTTTTCATAAATGAGAAAATGTGCTAAAAATATCGCCTGCAAATTCATTTAATTATTGTATTTCTAAATATACTTAAGTTATTGACTTGGAGATGTACAGCAGTACAGGGTGGGTCAAAAGTTACTGAATCATTTCAATTTTAAATAACTTTTATGTTAACAGTTACCTGCATGAAATTTTGGTATCATAAAGTCGAAGCAATGAAAATTGATTTTCTATCATAAATTTGATTTAATTCTTATCACAAAATTAACTCTTGGTAAGCTTTGCTAACGTCATCGCTATGTGTGCAAAATAAAATCCTGCATATGCCTTCCATTTTCTGCTTCACAAATTGATGCTCTTTTGATTACCTCTGCGATAACTGTTTCCAAAGTTTCTGGGCTTATTTCTCTAGTGATGTTTGCCTTAAGAGTGCAGCATGTTGGCATCTCTCACATTAATGCTTTCAATGAGCTCTTTGGGTTTGAATTATTGAGCCTTGATTTTGATTGTAAAATTTTGCAAGTATTGTGTACGTTGAACGGTATTGAATTTATCCATAGTTAATTTCCAGCATCTGACAAAAATATTAAGAAAATAATAAATATTGAAAAATAAAAAGATGTAAAAAATAAAAAGGGTCAGTGACTTTTGGCTCGCCTTGTACAAGTTGTTACTTTCCATTATCGTTCTGATATTAGAGAATTTTTCTTTTGGTTAAAATGAAGTCATCATAGTAGTTCAAGCTGAGCTTGTAATTTTGTAGATTTTTGTAATTTTTGCAAATGATCCGAGCACGTAATTTTCTCTTATTTTTAATAACTTCTACAATGATGGACTCTACCTCCCGAGATCGTCATCTCTGCTGAAAAATAAGCCTAACTTTTAGTTAAGAGCATGTGTGTTGGCATAGTCTGCATTGATCTTCATGTCCAATATTTGAGACCCATTATTTATACCTACGGCATTATAAGTTCTACAAGACGGTGTGGAAAAAATTTCAGGGGTCTGATTGCTAGTATTATGGATAAAAAACTGTGAGGAAAATTGTTCAAAAATTTTATTTAAACCCTTCTGATAGTGAAACCCAGGTATTAAATATTGGTTTTAAACTTTTCACCAGATTTTACTCAAGTATTTAAAAAAATTTACTTCGTTTATGTGTTAGTTTTAGGTTTGTTAACCAATTTTCTGGTCACCAGATTCTGGCCGAACTCCCGAACCTGACCCTGACGATATGCCCAAAGTATCCAAACGAAGCATGTCTGGTGGCGGTAATGCTGCTAAACGCAAGAGAATGGCAGCTTCTGTTCGGTTGGCGACGTTGAAGCAGAGCCAGACTACAGTTGCTGTCCCGTCACCCATGGTGATGTCTGAAGCGGTCAAGCACCGGGTAATTAACACCAAAAATTTGGCAACAATAAAGAAGTCCTTACCAGCGTCCATTACTGTGCGGCGCATCAAGCCAACTGTGGACCCAAATGCTGAACTTCTCAAGCGTCTACAACAATCAGGCACGACGATCACTGCAGCCGTATTGTCAAAGCCCTCAAACCCTCCTGCTAGAGGAGCAGGTCCGGCGAGCAAAGTAGGGCGAGGTGGCGTGATCTTGCCTCCTCCTAGGGCTAGTCCCATCGCTTCTACCAATAAGCTTGTTGCCCACGCCATTGCTTCGAACAGAGGAGGTAGAGGGGGAGGTGTGATCGGTTCACACGGTGTGGTAAAGCTCTCATCGTCAGTTGTGGTACAGTATGCATCTCCGCATGGTGGTAACATAGCGCGCGGAGGCCGAGGTGGAGCGATCAGAGGTAACGTGATTCCGCAGTACACGGCCAGTCCCCTCATTAGCTCCTCTGCAAAGTCTGGTCTAGGCGTGAGGCCCAATGGTAGTCGTGGTTACAACCACAACCAACGAGGTGGAAATTTCAGTATGGGACAAAATGGCGCGAGGGGATACAATCATGTCCAGCGAGGTGGACGCGGAATGACTTTGAATGGTAGGAATGTTCCAATGGTAAACCAGCTTTTCAATGGTGTCACCTATTCAGGTAACCGAGGACGACCTGCGTTTGGTCGTCCGCAGACCATGTCGGCTCCTATTGCGGTGCCCATTGAGGAGATTGAGGAGGAGGATGAAGATCTCAATGCCATCAAACATTTGCTCGAACCTCAAATTTTACTTGATGAAGGACCTGCTAAAAGTTTCAATCTCAATGTCAAAAATGGCAACGTCAGCAAAAAACAACATTCTCCTCCTAAAGGCAAGGAGTGTAATAGGAGTCCAGTCAAGCAAAGCAACGGGGGCAAAACGGAAGAGATAGTTCTCGATGACGCTGACGAGTCTAACGAGGTAATCGTGCGCAAAACGGGCGAAAATGTTGAAGATGATGGATCAGATGATTCGAAAACAACACCAGACAATGATTCTGACAGTACTTTAACCAAGGAATCTCCCAGAAAAAATATTTCTGAAGACCGAAATAAAGACCTTACTACTGTCTCTGATCAGTGTAATGGTGCGAAATCCAATATTAGTGACGAAAGTGATAAAGAAATAATCAATAATAACAATTGTGATAACACGAATACAATCAGCCCTTCAGCTTCTGGTACCTGTCAGCCCTCGGGAAGTGTTACATTACCAGCTCCAGTACAGGTGACATCATGCAATCAGGATACGGCCTGCACCTCGACCACAAGCGCGTCCGTCCTGAACAGTGAGCTCTTGCCTCCCAATACTTGCGTATACTCGGAACAGTCAAATGTTTCTGGACACATACAGTCCGTTATGCATAGTCCTGTTGGTGCACAGTCGCCAATCATGGCCTATCAATCAAACGGCGCTGTGACCGAGCAGCAGGCAGTAGGGCATTATGGCAGCCAGCTGCATTCAGCTCAGCATGAATTATCTGGTACGGTGACGTCACCTCTACAAGCCGCAACGGCTGTCACTTCGCCCTTCCAAGCCTCACAAACGAATGGTGCGTCGCCCCTACAACTCGTCCAGACTGGAACAGGCTCTCCAATGGCAATGATGCATACAAACGTAGGCTCACCTGCACAAAGGCATCACACTGGAGTTGGCTCGCCTGCTCATCTGGTGCAGAACGCATCAGGTTCGCCGGTACAGATGATGCAGAATGGCACTCTTTCTCCAGCACAGATGGCCAGAAGTGATATGGGTTCTCCGGCACTCGCGGTACAGTCTGGTACGCATTCACCTTCCGTATTAGCCAATTGCACGATGTCTCCCGGACACGTTACCACTCATTCCTCACCGTTGCAAAGGGTGCAGCACAGCTCACATTCTCCTCTGCAGTCCAGCATGTCCCCACAGTACGTTAGCCAAGGACCTGCATCTGGACAATCCCCAGGCCATTCAGCCCCGTTGTACCAGACTAGTGGGTCTGTGGGTCATCTGGTGTCAACGCCTGCCCAGTCACCTGTAATGCAGGCACCTCTAACCAATGCTGCCAGCATCATGGCTGCAAATGAGTCACTACAGCATATGGAACTACACGCAATTGCCCAGCACAATCAAATGCAGTCAAACGCTATGCCTCTTGCGCTCTCCTCTCACTCTGGCGTTCATGCTTCACCAAATACGCAAGACAATGCGTCTGTGTCGGTGTCTATGTCACTACCATCAACTGATCAAATGTATCAATCAGTTGTGTCTAGCTGCCAATCATCACTCCTTCCGTCCATGCCTCAAACCAGCACACACGCCCGACTGCTCGTTGAACAGCAGCTGTTGTACACACCAAGCGATTCCATGGCAAGTATCGCTTCTCCTTTCGAGCAGAGCTATGTCAACAGTAACTCCTTAGCAAACCTGCAGGTGGTCTCGTCAAAGCACTCCTCTCCAAGCCAAGTAGCCAGCGCTCTCTATTCTTCTCCAATGGGCAACCTCCTCCAGTCATCAGGTGTTGCTGACACGGCTGTCGCGGCGCATGCTGCAACCTATGCAAAAAAATCATCGAGCAGCTGTTCTTCTCAAAGAAAATCTTCGTATAAGAGCTCCGCCTCTTCACACAATACCGACCCAAGCCTGCTACTGGCATCGCTCCCTCTGCCAGCACATATGGACACATCAAGTTTGATGGGCCACAGCTCAGCGTCTCACATGGAGCATTTGTCTCATATGTTGCCTCCACCAGCTCACAGGATGTCATCAGGTATAAACATGATGACTCCTCACGCAGCGGCCTTGCAACAGGCTAGCGTATATTCGTCTATGGCTCCTCTCCTCAACTCATCCCTAAATGTCGACCCGAGTAATATGGTGAGTCACCATGCAAGTCTGTCCCACCTCAACGCCACCAGTATGAATCTCTCCCACCTGCTGCCACATTCTGCCTCCACATCCTCGCCTGCCATGGCTCACCATCACAATCTCTCACAGAACTCCTTCCTCAACCCGAGATGAGGATCTTGGTTAGCGAGGCCCCTCAATTCTGCAGGAAATTTGTAATTCATATACAAAGTTGCATTGATTAAAATTCTTACTTCTTTCCATGGAGCTTTCATAAAAATGAGATTAGCTTAGATACAAGTCTTGGGAGTTCAGAATGGACACCGTTCCAAATTCCTTACGCAGTTAACACTCATTTATTCAGTGTTGAAGGAATGATCTCTCGTCAATAGCCAGTAAATTTTAGGTTTAATACTGTTTACGTTTCAAACTAGAGTCTTGTAATGCAAAACAAAATTAGTCAGTTTACCGTGACTTGGCACGAACAAGTCACAATGTCGGTCTGCAAGTCAAATACTGACACCCTTGGTAAATCGCACTTAGTCGGGGATTACTTCTACTGCGATTGATTTATACTACGTGCCATAAATGATGGTTCGGACTATGTTAACTAAACATGTACCAAGTGAATGTTCTTTTTGACAATTTTGAATCACTATGTCTTGATTGAGCTATGCTTTGTGTTGCATTTTTGTTTAGTTCGTAACTCAATGAACAGTTTGTTGAAATAGCTCATTCTTAATGTTTGACATCATGCGTTTCTGTGTTTTTTATTATTACCTGTCTATTTTGAGGTTAGGCTAATAGTTTCCTGGGGTGTAAGAGACGTCATGTTTTAATCCTGATACTTCCTTTGATGACTTGGGTTTTATGACCTTCGCTTCGTACGCGTTTTGAGCCTATTAATACTCTAGAAACTTGAAACGAGTTGGCTGAAATCAACCTAACGCTAAAGTGCGTGATGCGAGTCTTGTTGCCGGACGACTCACGCGGCGCTCATTGAAAGTCATTGTATAGATTTACGTTCAAGATGTCTGCCACTAACCAGTTTCATTGAATAGTTGCGCTGACGGTGATGTTAATTGAAAGTTATTTTTGTTTATATCTCGTTAGAAGAACAGGCATTGGCACCTGTCTGCAGAAATGTTACCGTTATTCCAATGATAATGAGTGACGAACTAAGTCATTGTGCCCATTCCCGCCTCCTGTATTTTGTTTGATGCTTCAGGAATGCTCCCAAACTAAACTGGCACCACATGTTGTCGAGGGAATCGATATATCCTTCTATATGATCTGTGTATTTTGAGGAATCTCTTTGTATTAACTATAAACATTGAGTATGCTTATTCGAATGCTGATCAATCGAAAATAATGTTATTTTAAATGTCACCTATTTATAGATTTTATTCCTCGCGATTTGTACGACTCTGCCTGCTGAACGATTTGTTGGTGCAGTGAATCCAGATTTTTCTAGATTGTAATCCGGTCCGCCGTTCTCCTCTTTGTCAAATGCCGAGTTCAGCTCAAGTTGATACCGTTTGCTTTTATGTGGAATCGAATGGTCCACGTTTTCATAAATCCTACTTTTATTACCATGTGCACAGTTTTGGCTCACTCCTAAGCTTCAACTAAGAGTTGCTCATTTCATGAGTCCAAAATTTCTGGAACAATTTTCACAGTTACTTAGCATTTTTTGTTTCATTAATCTAAATCTTGTTGGAGCCTTGAGCATGGATTGATTGACAATTTTCGGATCAAGATTTATTCTTATAATTCAAACCTTTACATTAACATTTACAAACAGATAGGTTTCGTCATTTTGACTGTATCGCGTCAAATTCTCGGTGCCAGATGTATTGACATTACCTTATCCTGATGCTTTAAACGAACTTACCGCCTCCATTTGTGTGTTCGCTCATGTCGGAGCTGGGGATGAACTGGACTTCTTGACGATATCTCCGGCTTGTGAAACTAAGAAGGAATTGTTCTTACCAACATCAATGTGCATTTTGTTCTGCTGTCTAATTAAAATCCTCTACGTTGAGGTCGTGACGTGTTGAGTGAGAACTTAGAACCTCCTGGTTGAACTGCGCGTTAATCGACATTTCATCATGAATCATGACGTCGAGTTTAGGATACCTAATGATATTTACTTAACTGACTTCGGACGATAATTACGGCAGCTTTCGAAAGCAAGCCGTATTTCCAGTTACAATATTTTAAATATTTCAGTTGAATTTGTCTGTATAACCTACGCTTCGATTCCAGTATTTATTTAAATTGTAATGATGAATACGACTTGTCCGCAGTTCAAAACTATCGTTACAAGCTTTTATATTGATATTTGTTCCAAGTTCTTTGTGGTATCTCTGCCTATTTCAAATAATAATATGATTTTAATTAATACTTCGGGCTAAGTTGCCGAAGGTCGTTAAGCACAGAAATTGCTTCTTTGGCCAGCGCCCTGGTTCAACTGACCAAATTTCATGGTGTCCTCTAATGATGTGGATAGTTAACTGGCAACTAGATTAGCTACTTGTACATTAATCGGCGTGTCCTTGTTATTCGGCTACTTTGAAGCTATCTGTAATATGTATTGTAAATTATATCCTTATACTTGTCTAGATTTAGGCTCTAGAATTATCACTCTGATCTGCATTGTGTACAGCTTCGTCTATTTATTAGTCAAAATGACACGTGTTTGTATATTGCTCTATGTGAACGTGAGTGTTGAGTTTTCTTCTCATATTATTAGCGTCAGGGCAGGCACTAGTTCTCAAAATTTCCTAACGCAAACGAAAAAATAACTATGAATTAATTGCTCTGGCTCTGCGCTAAAGTTCATGGGATCGCTGGAAATGTTATGACACGATTCTTTCCATGAAATTGGTGCGCATGTTGTCTTTGAAAAAAGTTTCGTTCATGGCAGCATCTTCTTACTTATTTTGGTGACCGAGTACAGGTTTTGCGCGATGTAATTATATCCGAAAGCTGTAGATTGGAGTTCCAGCGAAAATGACCGCAAGGAACACTTTTAAAAACATCCAATATGGATACCTGAGAACCGTGTCGTGGGCGCGCTAGTCATCTTAAGTGCGCATTCTTCCTTCTCACTCTGCGAAATTTTGATCAACACCTAACATAAACTGATCATCATCGAGACATACTAGTAAAAGATAAATGTTTAGCATGATGAATGAGGCATCGCTTTTTGTGTATTCTTATAACTACCCTAGAGTTGTAGACGACGACGCTCCTACTCGCTTGTATGAACGTGTGTCCGCGACACCTAGGATCATCTGGCCGACGTACACGTTAAATAATCAATATAGCTATTGTCGCTACCGATATCCTTTGTGTTCATTAATTTTATTCACTATTGTTATTAGATGCAGTAGATGTGTTAAGTATTAGTGTCGTGTCGTTTTAGCTTGTAGGAGTTGAGCCTTGGCCGCATCGTCATTATATGCATAACTCGTCAATTCCAGCGTTCATTCAGTCTCTAATCATGTAACACTCCAAGTCTCATCGTATCCCATCTCATGTCTACATTCAACGCTCGTAAAGTAAGAGCTTTGCTGGTGTCAAAGTTGTGTTGGCATCCAACCCGTTGGCTCCCAACGACGACACTCGCGATTCTCTGTGCAATTTCTTTATGGGCACCTTCTCTTACAAATAAGAATAGTTAACGACCGCTTGCTGCTCTTATTATCCTACAACGTATTTCTGAGCAACAATTAATCTTGTAAGTAGCTAGCAATCAGTAATTTCATGGTTTTTGGAAGCACATTGATACGCGTAAGCCGTTGTAACCAATACCGAAGAGTTAATTTTAGTGTCTCATTTGTAGGAGTGGTATACGATCACATGGTCGATAGAACAAGGTTGGTCAGCGGCCCGAAGACAGTGGCCGCTGTTTTGCACTACGTCGCGTCCAATGTTCGTCATAATGTGATTCGAACAAAGGGGGGTCAGCGGTCCGAAGAATATGCCCATTATTTTGCATATTCTCGCGTCATACGTCGCATATGATCAAACCGTTTTGAATTACTTGTAAATTAGGCAATTCTTCGTATTTAGTGTAGCTTTATAGACCAATTTTGTGGCATTTACGGCTCAAATAACGTAACGCGTAACATAAATATTACAATAGTTCACATGCGATGCCTGAATGAGTATCAATTACACTCGAACGTAATTTAAGTTTTCATGTTGGGTCTTATGTCTGTGGAAATGAAATTATAGCATTAAATGAAATATTAGCAGATGATATTCGTTTCTATGCGGAAATAAAGTGGCTTAACGAACCCTTTGGAGTGGAACCTGATAAAAACAGCTTTTTAATTTCATGTGATTAAATTTGTACGTCATTTGGGTAACGTTACCTACACAGTTGCATTTGATTTAAGTATTGTGGTCGTTTTAACATCTCCAAATGAGTTAGAGACTGTAGTAGATTTATAGGCTATTGGAGTTCAAACACCTTTTGAACTCGAATACGGTACTTCATCACTGGTAAAGTTTCGCGAGAAAATAAAAAATAATAGAAGGGAAACATGAATCAAGGTCTCTAAAGTGAAAATCGCTATTTAAATATAATTCACAGGTAATGAGGATAAAACTTGAAAGTAATATTTACAATTCATTTGAATTTTCTTTACATAGAACATACGAGTTACAACTACCTAAACAAATACCTGCCTCGGGCTGTGGGCGACTGCCTCAGGCATTACACCAGTCAAGGTCAGTTTTAGGGTAAAAGCTTGAGGGTAAAAATAAATTGTCATCTTTCGCTCTGCTCAGAGTTGACTCAGTTCAGGCTCCAGGCTTGACATAGGAGTGGCATCGCGCAAGTGTCGCTTGCAGGTTGCAGCTAGTGAATAGTGATCAGTTGAGCGTTGAGGTGTCTGATGCTGGTTATCATAAGTGTTATGTGATATGTTAGTACGTAGTGATGATTGCCCAGCCTGCCGTAGTGTATCAGCAAGAAGAATGCCTTTTCTCGAATTCAATGTTGGAAGATGATCCAAATGATAACTCGGCAACAAACGAGGAAGAAAAAATAAAGCCCCGATGGGGCCCCGGACACAAAGGGGCCCAGGAGCTTGCTGGACTCTACAGCAGAGGTAAGTTTACAATATTACTTATAGTTTATTATCTAAAATCTAATGAGAGTAGTTTTTGTAATTCTGTACAGTATACACATTACTCAACACTCAGTCAACACTCAACAGTCAACACATGCACATTGGCTTGGCTTGGCACTGCCAAGCCAAGCCAATGTGTTTTTGAAAAGAAAATTCTCTGGTTTGGCAAAGTTGGCAGTTGGCTCAACCGCTCAAGTCATTGCAACTTGATTGTGAGTTTGACCTCACCTGATTAATTTAGATTTAGATCTATATTCTATGCCATTGTCATGGTGATTCAAAATTTCAAATGTATAATTTTTTGGTATTATTGCAGATTAACTACATCCAAAAAAAAGGGTGTTTTTTTTTTAATTATATGTTTTTTGGGGTGTAGATTACGAATCTGAAATCCATGTAAGTTACGTAACCCCCATGTTAGTAAGTCGCGAAAAAAATTGGTTTTCCGATGCCGACCGCCAAAAATGGATTTCAGATTCGTAATCTACACCCCAAAAAACATATAATTAAAAAAAAAAAACACCCTTTTTTTTGGATGTAGTTAATCTGCAATAATACCAATTTTTCAAGTTGATTGAATTTAATGATGGATTTTCCTTTCCTGAGTGCCTTCCAGGAACTTAAGGAAGCATCCTGTTCTCTTACAGTTACACTTACAGTCAATGAAGTTTGATAATTGATATTGGTCATTAATTTTGAAATGAATATGACAAAAATGCATGTACTTAGTGAGTTAGTGTACTACTTGAAGTCAATTTCACTTGTTTTTTATTTACCTTGAGTAATTTCTTCCATTAAAGATAACAATTTTGCCTGCAATTAAATTATTAAATTTCCCTTAGAAAATAGTTTTTGTATACCTAATTTTGAAAATTTTGCCCTATATTTCACATATGTTTATAAGTCTACCACTCTACCCTGCTATCCATAATCCAGTCATCATGAGTCATGGAATAAATTCACTTTACAAACCATGAGTCAAGATTTCAGGGTTGGTGATTTTTTTATTTTTTTTATTTTTTCAGTTTTTTTTTTGCCTTTTTGGAAGGTTATTTTTTATGTTGCAATTAGCCTACTAACAATAACAGTATTTCGATCATAATGGATGGCTAAAAAGGGCACTTCTTGCCTTCAATAATGGCCAACAGGCCAAGGTGGTGTTTACCAATTACCACTTTGCGATTTTTGATAAGTCTATTCATTAGCTTTGTAAAGCTTATATGGAGCAAGGTAACAAGCTAAATATTGACCATTTAACTGGCTTCAATGTACAAAAACACTTTGGGAATGCAGATCTTCTAAACATTGAAGAGTCACACAACAGATACTGAGATAGGTAGCTGATAGCACAGTGCACAGCACTATCAATAGATCTAGGTACTAGTTTTATGTCCTATAAACCTACCAGATTCTACCCTCTATACACACCAACTAGTAGTGACTGACTGCACTGTTCCCATTTAATTCAGACCAATAAACCAATATATACTAAACATAAACTGAACGATAATCAAACAGACCTCAAATGGCTTGAAACAAGATTTAAGTTAAAGAGAAAAGCTAACACTCTTTGGAATAAACATGTGCATAATTCAAACATTTTATTTCCATTCACTGCATTTAATTATTTTATATATGGTTTTATAATTGTAATTTTTTGGTTTCTAGTTTTAAATTCACATATTTAAAGATTAAAATTAAATATTTCAATTAGAATACTCATATTAGGGTGAAAAATCTTTCTAATTGACTAAAAGGTTGATACAATCTCAACCTCTCAATATACTGGGTGGGGCAGAACTGATTGAGCAGTTTTGAGGCAAAATAAATGAGTGATGGAGGTACTGAAAGAAGAAAGTTTATTTTCCTAGAGGTTAGCATAGCATACCACTTAGAATACTTATGTTTGGAAAACAATATCTGGAAGATGGGGGCTGTTAGCTGCAACACACTGTTGGAGTCATTCTCGGAGGAGGGAGTAACTGTGACAGTGAATTCTGATCGCTATGCTGCAATGTTGCAAAATTTCTAGCAGCCCAGGTATGGAAAACATTGTTGAAAATGAAGCATTGGGAGATGTGTGGTTCCAGCAGGTTGGGGCTACAGCTTACACAGCCCGAATGTCACTCCATGTTTTGAAACGCATGTTTCCCGGGGTCTAGGTCTGGTGTCTGAGGGGTGATTTACAGTGGCCTGCAACTGCGAGGTCACCTGATTGGAGCATTTGTGATTTCTTTCTTTGGGGACATCTAAAAGAAAGGGTGTTCAAAAATCACCCTCACACCCAACCACAGCTAAAGGGACAAATCATTGCAGCAGAGGTTATGGCCATACCTCGCCATATGTGTGAATGTGCTGTAGGAAACTTCTGAGAATGACTCCAACAGTGTGATGCAGCTAACAGACACCATCTTCCTGATATTGTTTTCAAAACATAAGTATTTTAAATGGTATGTTACCTCCATTACTCTTTTATTTTGCCTCAAAACTGCTCAATTGGTTCTGCCCTACCCTGTATAAGCTAGCTAACACATTTAAATTGTATATTGTAATCAATATATAACAAATAGTCAAATAGTTAAAGACTACTTATAGCCTTATAAGAATTAGCTAAGCTGCTAGCTATGTACAATGTATTGCAACACTTGATGCCTCTGTCCAAAAACATTCAATTTATTGGAACTTAATATGCACTAAAGGCAACAAGTTTATATACCACCAATTTGTCATTCTAAGTACATTCATACTAAACCATGAATAACAATACCTCAAAATAAATTAAAGACTGCCCCTCAATATATTTAAATATATAAAAAAATCGTAAAAAAAATGAAAAAAGTGATTTAATCATTACCAACACTGCAAGATTTCCTGCCATTTTGGGGCTGCAAGTGCAACACTCCTAGATTCACTATGACAAAGTTAGGCTAATTGACAAATGCACTCTAATTGTTAACAAGAGACAAAGAGTGCATACCTAATCAAGCCAAAAGCTGCTTAAAGTCTCAATTATTAAAAATTTAATTTAGTCGTGATATTTTGAGCCATAAGATAATATCAACAAGATTGAATTTTTCAATCCTGTGACTTTGGTTAGAAGTTTGATGAATGTCTTTCAGATCTCTTGCCTTAATCTTGTTCCCAGCCAATCTTGAATATTAGGCCAAATTTCCCCCCAAAAAAATAATTAAAACAATTGCTTTAACTTCTATGTTTAAAAATTTGCATGCAAAAAATTCAAAAAATAATATAAACCATAATTAATGTTTGAGATTTCATATATAGAATGAAGTATATAACTTTACAAGTGTTGATGTTGAAATATATTTCAAAAATGGCCCCAACTCCCCATTAGAGCCTGAGAAATAGGAGAACTAGAGCCTCTTTAGCCCATTAGAGCCTGGCAAAGTAGTAGCCTGAGAAATACAATACAATATATTACAGCCAATACCGTCAAACGGGGTAAAAAGGGATGATTTTGAGCGTTTTTTGTTAATAACTTCTTACCATGAAACATTTCATGAACAAGTTTGGGCTCATTTTAAAGATATTTGCAAGGGCTATCGTATGGCAATGGCATCTCTAAAAAAATTCCATATGCTATTTGTAAGGTGCTAGACGCAAAATAAAAGGCTCCTGAATTATTCTGGAAATGGGGTAAAAAGGGACACTTGAAATAAAACTCAATTTTAAACATTTGAAGCATGCAGAGTGTACTCATCTATAACTAACAGTACTCTGAAGTCCTCCTCTTCCTTTGTAGATGATGTAAATGTAGAATAAATGAAATTTTCTCTGTTATTTTTACTTTTTTTTTTCATTGATATATTACCTTATCCATACATTACTGTATTAATAATGTATATTACTGTATCCATGAACATGCCATTGAGCATTGACAATGACCTTGTGACCTTGTCCACTGCAAGCTTCATATCACTAGCTGTACAGCATTTCCTCCATAAGCTTACAGGATTGGGCTTGTAATTTTGCACCATTTTAATTAGGTCAAGTGAAATTATTCACTACCTATAACAAAAAAGATTGTAAAAACAAACCTGAAATGAAAAGAAATATCCAGAGGTGGGCAGTAGCACGCTACATGTAGCGGCTGCTACATTTTCAGTAGCGGTAGTGGTAGCGGCGCTACATTTAAGGCAATGTAGCGATAGCGGTAGCGCCTGCTACTTATTTAAGTAGCGATTCGAGGTTTTGCCGCTACAGCGCTACTGCTACATTTATAGATAAAGCCTTTAAATTTTACTTGATAGTATTAAATATTATTTAAAAACCAGCATGATACATACATAATATAAATTACAGAATAAAACTGTATGAAAGATTTCGGTGTAACATGGTCAACCTCAGCCTGTTACTAGTGTCAACATATTAGTTGTTACTTGTTAAGTTGTTACCAGTTACCACTTACAGATATTTTTTCATGTTTCAGTTTACTTAGTTATTTTTACACAGTTATTATTATGTTTCACCTTCCCTACATGGACTCAGTCTCATGATGCAATTCAAGTTGATAGTATTCTTTTGGTGCAGTGTTGAACTTTTGATAGATGTCTGTACCATAAAATGGGGTAACTTAGACCGGCAGGGTAACTTTGACCACTTTTCGTTTTTTTAACAAAAACCCCCACAACTCAAAAACTATTTGACATAGAAAAATTTTGTCAATGGGCATTAAAGGCCTAATACTGAGGCTACATAATTTTTTTTGAAATTGCATAAAGACTATGAGAGGCAGGAGCCAGCAATTTATGGTGAGTGAAGCTAGAGTATAGACCTGTATTTTGCATGTTTCAATTCAAGTTTAATTTAGCTAGTAAAAAAATGGCATCATTTATAAAAAAAAGTGGTCTAAGTTACCCCATTTTATGGTACGTTTGTTGTTGTTGTTGTGGTTCCCTGGTCTCATTTTTACAAGAGACCCCCATCGCGCAAGTACGACACTACCGACAGGGGGTCGCTCCAGAGCTGTAGGGCCAAGGTTATGTGGTGGTGTACGTTTGTAGATTAAAACTGTAAATAACATTTTGTTTGTTACTATGGTAACTTTTCAGAGCCTTTTACTGTTAGAGTGCAGCAATTTTTAATTAACATTCTTTGTATTTTTGATGATGTAGTTAGTGCTTGTGCAGCCTGTTGTTGTTGTTGTTGGATCTTATTTAATCAAAAGCATTGTTTATGCATGATAATTATATGCTCTATCAGTCTTGTCATATTTTATTCATTATATATACATTGTCAAGAAATTTCAATTTTTACAGCATCAATGAATGCTTATAACTGTTTCCTTTACCCAAAGCATGATAGGGAAATTTTGTACTCTATTTATTTTGTGTTGAGATACCATCAAGAAAAATCTAAACCATAATCAAATTTTTATCATACTTTGTAAAATTTTTTTGCAAATACCTATGAAAATCTTTATTTTGCTGTATTGAAGTTGGTCATTCCAGCAATCTGTTGTGATCTTACATTGTTATTAAACCTCACAGTCCTAATGCCTTTGAGTTCTGTAATAATGTCATCCATTTGTGCACTAATTATAATTATCCCTGGGAATTTTTTTTTTCTTACACTTTGTGATGCAGATCTCTGCACTGAGTTATCATTTGTTAGTTAGGCAATGGAATTTTTCAGATTTCAGTTGAGCTCATATCACTTGAAAGGCTCGCATTTTTACATATCATTTATATGAATTGATTTTGCTACTGTCAAATTATGGTATGCAGTGAAACTATTTAGTTAAAAATCTTGTAGATTGCATCTGAAAAGAATCCAACTTTTCGAGGTGAGGCTTCTCTAAATTATCTTAGTTATATTCTACTAGTCATTCCCAGTGATGGTATTGAAGTAGCTGCAATGTGCTCTATTTCATGCACGGATTATATTTCATTGCAGGGAAGCGAATCCAAGAAGTGGTGTGTGTGTGGATCTGCTTGGCCTTAATTGTGGTGGACCTTTACTTCATGGTTGCTCACTTCAATTATGAGCGACTGCCCACCATCTTACTGGCTGCTTTTGCGGGCATTATCACTGCTGATTTTTTATCCGGTCTTGTACACTGGGCTGCCGACAGCTGGGGCTCTATTGAACTCCCGGTTTTAGGTAAGGTAAGTTTCTCGGGAGCGAAATTGAATTCTCATGTGGTCGTACATAACTTAATTTTCAGTCGTAGGCGCAGTTAACGTATATTGGTGCCTGTGCTGGAAATGCTTGCGTCATCAAAACCTCTCACGCTGCTCTTTGATGCCGCTAACTTACTAATATAGCCGCCGATCAGTCAAGCAAAAGCATTTTAACGATGTTGATTTTCAAATAAGAATAAGGTTTGCGTTGGCTAATGGTACTTTAGTATGCGTTTCGACGTTAAGTGTAAGCAGGATATTACTGTCCCTTCCCTCTTGTGCCCTCTGTCGAACACCTGGTGTGGGATAGTATAGTTTATGCTTTGCTTCGTTAAGATTGAAAATTATTGCGTTTTCCAAAGAAGTATCGTTAATATTAGCATCGCTAAAGTTGAGTTACATGCGAGGTTCTCTCTTTGTTGCCAATTTATTTCTAGTATGATGTTAATTAGCACGCTGACGGCTGGTACTGAACACGTCAGCTTCACGTGCCTGAGGTAAGGCTTGCATTCTCTCCTTCCTACAATGGCGGCCTCGTAGGCGTCTGGAGTGATCCACATTAACTTACCTACTCATACCTACGCGTTCTTTGCGTTCATATGGGTAACGCGTTGTACTTGAATACAGCATGTGTTGAATTGCGTGCTTCCTTTTCTCACGTTAATATCTTCACGATTTAATAAAATTTCAGTTGCCTGCTCCTCCTTCCCCATATTGAAATAAATTAATGAGCATGTCTTAAATCCCATGTGGTTGCGTTCTATTTACATTGACTCTGTTCTTGTGGCAGCTTTTGTGATGTTCCTGACTCTAGCTGCAGATCCAGTCTTTTGCACTCCTCTTATAGTAACTATTTGCATTTAGACATTTATGTTCTTCGCCAGCAGAGTCTTGAAATTTTTACGTTTTATTTGTGTGATGGATGCTTTGCTCAATTAATCTAGGGAATATCAGTTGCAAGTTATTGATCTTGTATATGGTTTAGGCCAAATAAAAATTCCGGTCGCCACTCGACGGTGAAAAACTGTATTATTGTGCGTGTGTTCACAGGAAAATCATTTGCACGAAATTTAGGTTCTATAATGTGTGGCAAACCCTTTTACGATAAATGAAGAGCAAAGTATAAAAATGTGTATGACGTATCTACTGATGACAAATTTCTTTTCGTTCATAAAGACCTCAAAGTTGATAGGACATTATAAATAACTATATGCTAGAAGTTATTATTGTGCATTGGACACAGCTCTGTTTTCGTGGTCAGAATTTCATCCGTCCATTTCGGGAGCACCACATAGACCCCACCTCCATCACCCGCCATGACTTCATCGAGACCAATGGAGATAACTTCATGCTGTGCATCCCAGCGCTGCTCTACATCAGCTGCTGCTTCCTGAGCCGTCCCGTGCAAGTGCTCCAGCAAGACTATGCATTCTTCTCGTATCTCTTCCTGCTGGCGATCTTCGTGGCGCTCACCAACCAGGTGAGCAATTCTCTTTTGAAGTTCTCTCTTAATTCTTTATTTAATATTATCATTTGAATAGACCATCTTGTATATATTAACTCGTAAAAACATGTTTACTTCACAAAATCAACTGATTTAACGTATTGTGGTACAAGGTGGGTGATTCACAGAAACTTCATGTTTGTATTTCGCGCCAAGTAGCCAGATGTTAGTGGAAAAGGGAGAGGAGTATTATATAAAAGGCAAGGGCACAAAGTTTTGTGCTCCGCCTAGTCAGTTGCCACTATGCCTTGGACAAGCGAGCAACGTGCGTTTGCTGTCGAGGCGTACTTCTGAGATAACATTTTGCAGAGCGCCTCATCTCCTTGAGAGGTGACCTTCTTTAGCCTGCCCGATCCCCCGATTTAGCTCCGTATAATTTTTTTATGTTTTTTATGGGATCATCTTAAATCAATTGTTTTCAATGACTGTCCAAGGACCTTACCTCATTTGAAGAACAACATACGCCAAGCCATCGCCAACATACCCGTCAATATGCTTCAGCGAGTTGAACATAACTGTAAAAAGCGGCTAACTGAATGTATTGATAATGGGGGCCGACATTTGTCCGATGCTCCTAAAACTACGTGATACATAAATTCACGTAATGGCTATTGCAATCAAAGTTATATTGTAATGATATCGTTATTAGTTTTTTTATTGGGCTTTCGAATCAGGAAGTTTCCGCGAATCACCCTGTATTTGTGGGCGCAAATTTTCGCGCTTAGATTAGGCCTAGTTTTTCAATTTCAAATACATCAGTCGATTCACGTGTCACACTGCTCGTAAAAATAAACTGTAACGGGCGTAAGTATGGCCGAGTATTAAGCTAAAAATTGAACTAAACATTTTATTGTTTCCTCCACTCGTGCGGAAATCGAACGTCTAAGCTACCGAAGGTAAAAGAACGATGGCGAACCCAGCACCCTCGATCCTCTCACTATTCCTGACTCTCGGCCACTTGAAGCTACAGAGCTCTGAATCCTGGGTGCAGAAATAACGTGCGGAATATGCTCATCGTTTTGTATTGTTTCAATTACTAGAATTATGGTCAACTTTGGGTTTTTCTTTGACCTTATGAGTCATAAGAAGGTCATTTCCGTCGTTGAATCCACTATCATCGCTATTTCCTCAATGTATATTATATGAAAATGTTGCCAAAAAATCAAAATCTCTGAGCAAAAGCTAACGAATACCTTGCATGATTCAAAGATCATTTATTTGCTTCATCGCACCAAACTTGCAAAATTTTTTCAATCTTTTGTGTTATTCTAAATGAGAGGCTGTTATGCAAACGGTGTTCTGTTCCTTCCTTATTGCAAGGCATTCTAAATTCGCGAAACACGTGCTTCGCTTATGTCGCCCTAACGATTGCACCACAGATGTCGAATTCATTAAAATAGTGCTAAACTAAACGGTTTAAAATGTATGAAGAAAATCGTAGTCGAGTAATGCGTGTAAAAATAATTATATATGGGCTAATGAAAATGTATTTACAACAAATAATATGAAATTTTTAATATTCAGAATGTCACACTCATCGATCGAAACGTTTCGACTGCCTGCATGGCATGCAAGATGGCGCAAATCTAGGAGAAAAACGCCTGACGCGCTCGGGATGCTTTGGGACGAATGCCAGAAAACAGACTCTGGTCGTCATTTTGTTTTCATCCACAATTAAGTACGAACTTCATATCAAAAGATTTATTTAACTTATTCTCCATCGTTTTTCTCGGAACAATGCACCTAAACAATGACGTACTGAGTCGTATTTTGCATGCTGTGTCTCACCCAATCGACCTCGTGACTCGTAGTTTCTGACATCAACTCTGAGAATAAACCGAGTGCACTCACACTCCTGAATATTCCCGATTGGATATTCCCACTAGTCGATATGCTACTTGTGTTGCTCTGTGTATATTTATAACGGCTAAGGCATGCGACGCACTCAGCTCTCTGTTCTGTCTGGCATGTGTCGTAAGCTACTCGGTTCTAGTTCATACATTAACTTGAATAAGCCAGACCAATTGAGCTCTTGTGATTGATTGAGCCCCGAGTTGAAGTATGGGATTTATTCTTAATTGCGTGGTTCTTTTCACAAATTATTAGCGACAAAACTGAACGAACGGTCACATGCGACATGACAGCTAAAGTACTAAAGCAAAATTTACAACGCTAAATTTTTTGAAAGTTCGAGACAATAACTCATTTCTAGATCATATTTTACACGAAATGAATGCTAATGATGTTTTTATGTCAGTTAAGATTTTCATAAATTTTTCACAATTGAAAATCGTTAAAGTAAGAGTCGCTTGCAGAAATTTTTTAGTTTAGCTAAGCTCTTCATGGATCAATTTTCATCTGAATCATGTTGTTCTGTGTTATCGAAATACCATTTTTGAATTTCTGTTTTCCAAATAAATTGACGTTTACTTTAAAATGAAGACGAGAATGAGGTGGTCGTCGCATGCGCTCGCTGTGTGCGTGACCTGCGATGCTACACGCGCGTCACGGCTTTGGTGGTGTTGCTGCTGTGCAGTATTGCTCTTGCTCAACTGCTGCGAGCTAATTCTCTTGAGCAATTCATCCCATAATGCGGCAACCTAACACGAATGAGATGTAATTTACTTTATTAGCTCTGCTCGACTCCATTGGTATATAGCTATACCGCTGTGTTACGTGTGCTACGGAGTATCTGTTGCTGATACGTAGATACCGAGCCGATGACACTGCTTTTTCGACGCACGTTTACAGTAATGATAAGACTTGCATGGAGTCTGAAGAAAATATATATGAGGGCAACATAACATAGGCAACAAAGAAATGTTCCTTTGTTACGTATGGTCTCTGGATTTCTAATGAACCGTCAATGAATTTTTTAGTATTCGCGTGTCTACAGCTCGCTCCTGACCTACTGCTTCAGAGGTTAACCTTTAACAAGCTTCTTCCTTGGCAGTGCCGAACGCTGTATTAATTCATTGCGTCCAATATGTATCTTAATTACTTAGGATATATTTTGCTAATCCTAATAATGCTATAGCTATAAGACTCGGTTTAGAATTACGCAGAAATTTAAGAAGTTTAATTTTAAACATTTAGAGCCACGCGCACGAACGGCAAAGTCTGTGAACAATATATCGGTCTGCTGCTTCGATTTAGGGACAAGAATGCGTGCTGAAGCATAGTGTAACCGTCTGTGATGTGCTCTGACTTTCCTATCAAGTATTCATCAGGGATATCGCCTTGCATGCCTTTACAGGCGCAATTAATCAGTCGTGTCACGACTTTTGTTGTTGCATCTGCAGTGGCTGACTTGATTGCCAACTGATGATGCTGCGCTTCCCTTGATCGAACAATTAGTATGCCACGCACGCTTCCTGATTTTCTTCGTAAAAGCTTTTGCTTTAGAGCGTTCAACTCGTTCACTTTAAATGCTCGAGACGTATAATGTTCGATTAAAATATATTTAAATGCGGTGTGCAAGCGGATAGAAACTTTAAAGATGAAATTCTATTTTCAATTTAGGTACTATTCCGTTAACTAAACGACCTATATTTTTCAGATTCACAAATGGTCGCACACATACTTCGGCTTGCCTCGCTGGGTCACCGTGCTCCAGGTTTGTCTTCAGCTTGCAGTATTTTTTATCCCAAGGCTTAATTGTTCACGATAAATTATTTTCCTCGAGTTGATGTTGAACTTCAATATCTATCGTATGCGTTAAAAAACCTTCAAAATATTGAAACAAACATCGTAGTGGTGGAATTTTCATGGTTATTCCTGCTTGTGTGAATCATTGAGATTTTTTTCATCAAGACCGTGAAGATAATCGGCAGATATACAACTTTTTGTCACCGCAATGCGAAAAAGGCCTCAACCTCTCGATTTTAATGTAGTTTTGCTTGCTCAAAATGATGCATCGTTGCTCAAGTTTTTTATGTTCATGTGTGATGACGCACAGTTCGATGCACGATTGTGTTGGCAGTAGAGACGCTACTCGGAATCTTATACCTGAGCTCTCAACACGTAACGTGCTGCTCGTGCCAAAACTTGCCATTCAGCACTTTGTCGTGCTGCTCGTGCCGAAACTTGCCATTCAGCACTTTGTCGTGCTGCTCGTGCCGAAACTTTCTATTCAGCACTTTGTCGTGCTGCTCGTACCAAATCTTTCCATTGAGTTTTGTGAACCTAATAAGGCACTTGAAAATTTATGTCTATGATCTGATTCGGAGCACAATATGGGATATTACATAAACGAACTAGACAATTACTGCATAAATAGCACATGTACTGCTTGTTCATAATTGATGAGTATTGATCTGTAATTTTGATAAAGATTTTAAATAAAATTGAATTTGATTCTTGAAAAAATATTTTTCACAGGACCTGCATATCGTGTTGCCGAAGCGTCACCACCGCACTCACCACGTCGCACCCCACGAGACTTATTTTTGCATCACCACGGGCTGGCTCAACTATCCCCTAGAGAAGCTCGGCTTCTGGGGGGCCCTAGAGCAAATTATTGAATTTGTGACGGGCTGCAAGCCCAGAGCTGATGACTTGAAGTGGGCTCAGAAGAGGACGTGAAGCTTTCGCCACTATTATCAACTGTTGCCTTCCTTAGATTCTCTTCCGATAAGAGTGTTTTAATTCCTCTGTTAATTGCTCTGGTTGGGAATTATTTAATATCGTTGAAAGGTTTAGCCGAATGTTATAGGCCTTGCCTGATATTGTTGTGTCGGCCATGGGGAAGGCGAATACGCCGTCTAATCTTTATACGTGACCAATGTACATAAAGAATTTATCGTGAATTTATATCGTTGCATATCGTGTTGGAGACTTGATAAACATTGGAAATGAACAGTTAACGATTGTATTGCTCATTTTGGTTAGAAGATAGCTATTCTTATAATAAAGTGTCGCGATCGCAACTTCTTTTAGCGGACTGAGTCAAAATCCGGTGAAATTTTATCTTAGAACATAAGATGATTGTTCATCATCAACGCCCTTGTGCCTCCGAGGACTCAGGTACAGCCTGTTGATTTAATATACGATTGCTTTTCAGCTACGAAATTTCCTATCAATTTCGCTGCAAAGACCCACCTAAACTGTCTAACCACACTTAAATACTGCTTTTAACTTTTAATCAAGAGCTCATCACAATCACATGAGTTGTTTTGGCTTAACTGGGCCACTTCACGTGACGAATTTGTCTGTAAACATATCGTGCAATTTGTTCCTCGACGGCCTGTATCATCATCGAGATTGTTCAATGGTAAGCAACAAAAACTGCCACTTTATTCTAACACGCATTCTATTTTATATGGGCTCACGTTGGTTATTTAGTACTTTATATTATTAATCTCAATCACAAACTATTGCTATATTGTAATCAATGTCGTAAGGATAGTAATTATTATCTTGACGCACAAACAAGTATTCAGACTTCAACATATTTTCTGTTTAATTATTGCCAGTTATGAAACGTTTTTCAGTTTAGACTGGTATATAATTCGTGTCATGTTTGCACGTCACATATATACTATTGGTGGTATTAATTAGTCTGAAATCAACATAGATAAACCTTTCAATTTATTGTTGTGACAGCTATTTTCCTCACTTATTGCCCTTTACATCAACTTCTACGCTTACATGTTAACGTTTTACAAGACTATTCTTGCTCGCAACAACATTAAGTCAATACTTCGGATTCTATAACTTTGAAATGGGACTTAATTTGCGATAATTTGTCAAAGGCTTTAATGCAAGGTGATAACTCCCCACCCTGTTCCTATAGTATTGGGCTCGCGTGTTTCGGGCTCACCCTTAGTCAGAGCGTCTCAACAACCTCCTATGTTTGAAGCACAAGTCCATGAAACGACTGAAACATTGCAGATTTTTCACATAAAATTCTTTTATGAATTCATCATTTTTTACCTTTATCTCCGGCGTTGCAGTTGGGGGAAATTCACGAATGAAGATTTTGCTGGTATACATTTCTTATGCATATCAAGACCAGATTCATTGATATATCATGTGAAGGTGCAAAAGTGTGCGTGCAAATCTGTAAGGATGGTATGAATAATTGCTCTACGTTTAGCTGCAGTTGATCACCGCGCGAGTCGATAAGCAACTGGTTGCAGATTGTAACGCCTTGAAGTACTACGAGAACGATTACAACCAAAACTACACGAGCTTCCACGCACACGCAACCAACGCGCACTTGACCTCCGGCGCTCGGACAGCAAGGTCCGACAGCAGCACGCCCCACACACGCAAACACCGCCTGACTTGAAACAATCGCCAGGCATTATAGTTGCTGCAAGTTTTACTCGGTATTGTCGGCGTCCTCTAATCGTTCAGGTTCTGAGAATTGTCCCTAGCAAGCACCATTCAGGTCAATAGCTTACGTGTCTATACCATATTAAGCTTAAAATTATTGAAGTAATGAATACGGTTTTTAAAATATAAGAAGCAATTCAGTGGGAAAAAAGATACAACGAACCAAGTGCTTTGCTTCGGCAACCAATCCAGAATACTTTAGTATAACATTTTGAGACATCTTTACATAGGAAACTGTATGGAACCTAAATAATAGCGAAAAATTAACGGGTGTCAATGGAACGAAGCGGATTTATAAATGATTAATGAATGTACCTTCGCACCGCTGGTAGATTCTTGCGCGATTCGAAATGCATGCTGGATACTCTCTGTTAATTGCTTCGTGGATTTTCACAATATTTATGTTAGTTGTTACCTAGCTTACAACGGTCAAACAAGGAAAATTCTTGCGTATTTCATAACAAAAAAATATAACTCAGTACTCACTGCAGTGAGTGACAGAGCGCGTTTTCTCGTCGACGAAAACTTGAGGCCACGGACAGACGGACATGGCGAGCACAATAGTGAATTTTTTCCATAAATGAGAAAATGCGCTAAAAACGATAATATGAAAAAGTTAGTTCATAAGCAAAGCATTATTCCTCATCTCGCTACACGGACACTTATTCATGCTCAAATCCATGGCTAATTTTCGGGGTTGGTAAACATTCTCTACGACATGCCCACATGGAAAACTTTTCTTATAAGACGGCCACATGTTCTTGTCTTTAGTACCAGCATTCCCATTAAACTCAAAACTATGAAAATGTGAGTAGTTGATAATAACATTGCCGTTTCAGTTCCCATAGAATTGTACAATAAGAACTAAACCAGCTATCAATTTCTTGATAAGATTTAACTATCTTATCTTTACTTCTTTAAATGTTCGTACAAAAAATTTGCCATCGGTTTAATTATGGTGAAGACGAAGGAACATTACGTACGAGCTTAATACAGCATGCAAATCTAATTCTATGAGAGGAAGGTTTTTTTGACTGTGTAGTCATTTCACTAGGGATATACATGGCCGATTGCAGACTTACCAATTTTGTTCAAGCAAACGATTGATACTTTTTAATCCAAGTATCAAAAAAAGCAACAATATTTCATGGTGAACGAATACCGCTACTGACAAACCTGCCTAATATTTGTTAGGAAAAATGTAATTGTGGCAGAAATGCTTCCTCAACCCTCCTTTGGGGCATGAAACAAATATTAAACCAATTTATCTTAATCAAAAAATTGCCAAATGCTTTGCAACGAAGTAAAAAATTTTATGGGAGAAGCAATTAAACTATAAAATTAAAAACTACATAAAATCATTTCGTGAACATGCAAACGTTCGGCATGTGGCCCACCCGCTCTATTTTGCCCAACCTTGTTTTAAACTTTAAAAGGAACTTGAAATATTCGTTGAACTTCTACCTACCTGTTAGGCGGTCGTTGCTGTAAATAACAACATATCATAATTTTATAAGTATTGAATCTTCATTCATGATCACATGCATCGCGTTCGATCAAGTCAGCTTAGTGAATGTGAAACACGCGACTAGGCAGGATACTTACCAGTTACCACTCTCAAGTGCTTTCCTGTATTAATATTTAAGGATTTCAAACCGCCACAACTTTCGGAGCTTCTTCGCTAGCCAGTCCACTGTAGCCAATCTTCCTCGTGACGTACTCGTAGTATGGCATGACGTGATTCCTAATTTTCATTCGCTGATAGTAAACAATGGCTAGCAAAATAGCCGTGACAAAAGCCAAAATGAAGGATAATGTCGCTACAGCAGAAGTGGATGAAGACTTCTCTTCTATGTGGACGGGACGCGTTGGACACTGGAGCTGATTTTTATCCAAATTCTTGAGTGTCTTTCCTATGAGCGTGTCTGATATCCCTTCAGCGCATTTATAATCATCCGAATCTCTCAATACGACTTTGGTTGACTTCAACCAAGAAACGAAGGACCATATGTAGCAGTCACAAATGAATGGATTCTTCCGGAGTTCGATGGTGAAGTTTGACTGACGAGAAAATTGCTCGATAGTAGAAATTGCTTCGGAGGATAATCGGTTGATGTTGTTACGCTGCAGGTCAACGTATGTCAATCCCGGCATACAGTCGAGCCTAAAGTCCATGTCCGAAAGGCGATTGTCTCCAAGATAAAGGTGATTCAACGACGGTAGTTGACAAAATATGCTGGCATTTCTGCCGATGGTGTAGATCTCATTCTGTTCCAAATGAAGCTTGACGAGTAACCGCAAGTCGCTCTCGAAGAAAATATCCTCCAAGCTCAGCAAGTAGAACGATGAATTCACGGACTCGGTGAAGGCATTGGTGAGGTGCAAGTTCTCCAAACTCTCAAAGCCATAGAAGACTCGAGGCCTCTCACGCTCACTGATCTCAATGTCGTTGTGGTTCAAGATAAGTGTGCGTACGTTGAACACCTGTGGAAAAAAATCTGAGTGAGTGAACTATTGAATTGTGTAACTGTTTCGATACGTAATGGAAAATATGGAATTTTGAGTAGTAACTCATACCAGTCGGAAATTCTTCAACACGATATGTCGCAGAGAACCAGGAAACAGACCTCCCACCGCAAGAGTTACCTTGTGGAAAGCTTTGCCGGGGATGAAGGTGATGCCGTTGTTGGAAAGATCCATGATTTCGAGGTCGTCGTAGTCTTTAGTGTTCCCTAAAACATTCTTGGGTAATGGACCAATTCTGTTGCCAGTGAAAATTAGCACTTCCGTTCTGAAAAATATACAAGTTATCAACTATGCATGGTCTGTTATGTTATTGAGTTAAACTTACATCCGTTAATTATTATACGATATACTTACATCCACGAATTACATAACTTGTCAAAGGTCTTTTTTTTTCTTCAAATTAACGTTCCAAAGAGAATAATAAGAAAACTCCATCGATGTTCCTTTTAAATATTTGAATTACCGGTACTACGTTAGATGACGAAAAAGTTAAACGTATTGCGGCAAGGCTTGGAAACGCTCAGATACCTATTCGATTGAATTTCATTATGTTTATTGCAATTTTGTGATGAGTGTATCGTAATTCGTACTCGATTGGGAGACACGTGAGCATTGAGGCGTTGGTGAAGCCCGTGTTGGTGCAGTTCACGATGTACCGCTTCTTGGCGTCGGGCAGGTGAGGGCTGTTGGGGTATCTGCTCAGCCCACATTTACATTTGCCATCGAAAGCTATGGGGCAGCCAGTGTTGTCCGTGATTTCCTGCGTCGACTTGCCATCTAAAGTTTTGGGGCAGTCAGTGACGTCCGTGCTTGCCTGCGTCGACTGAAGACATATGAGGACGCAGAGCAAACCCACGTACGGCCACGCCATACCTAGCCTGAAAAATCGTCTAATTAAATAAAAAATATATTTATTAACTCTACATTCGAACATTCTATTTTCTTATTCGTGATAGTGGTTTGAATAAAGCATTATTATGTTTCAAAATATCAAGTTCTATAACAAGATTCTAATTAGGTTTACATCCTCATTTTAATATATTCCGACAAGTCGCTTCCCATTAGCAAATTTAGGTGAAAATGACAAGCAGGGCTACAATACTGCTAATAGCAGTAGATACACGCAGCCAGATAGAGCAACGATAATGACTAAAAATTGTAAACTTCTCGCCGTCGCACTATTCAGAAGTTATTCTAAAATAATTTTATTTCTATAGAGTCACATATAGTCTAAAATAATTTTATTTCTACAGAGTAAAACGAGTCACAACTTCTACCAATGTCCAGTTATTACTTCCTGGACCACGATGTCCGAGGTTGTGATTTTCGGTACACTTGCAGCAGTATTAATTTCGGTAAACTGGGCAGGGTGGCCCAGTGGTTACAGTTCTGACTTGTGAGTAGCAAAGATTGGAGCAGAGAGGCGCGGGTTCGAACCCAGCTCTGAGCAACAGTTTCTGGTCAGAATCGGCAAGGAGGCCGGGCGGTTAAGCAAAACAGAATTGTACTAGTTAGTTGCGAGTTCGAGACCGCAAAATGCTGTGAATGTTCTGCGATGTTAAGAATCGGCGACAGGCCAATCGAATTTCATAAGGCAATCGATAAATTAAGTAGTATCAAAATTTGCACTCACTTATTACAAACATTGTGAATTTTATGGTATAATTAAAGAATTGTGTTCTCAAGGTCTTGGATCGACTAGGGAACAAGTACATCTCAGACCAGATCCTTGAATAGCTAGGCACTCCCGCAACACCGTACCTGGATCATTCACACCCCTCTACCTCCACCTCCTTTCTGTCTATCCACATCCCAGAGTAACACAGATAAAAAACACAGAAAAAATCGTAGAAGTCTTGTGGTAAATCATACCCATTTTGATATTTCATAAAATATTTCATGTAATTTGTATTCCTACAACCATATTCTTGTTTGCACTAACTATTCTAGTTCAGATAAATCTCAGTGTACAGTACCGGTATCCTGCAAGAAAAAAAAATCATGTTGATGCAGCGAGAGGTTGCGTTCACTGGTTGAGGAAATTTGCAGGTCTACTAGACATCAAGTAATTAGATCTGTGACTCATTTTTCTCCCTAACACTCTTACGACGTGCGATAGAGCTTAGCGAGTCAGTTTCTCAGTACCAAATAGCCTCACAATCTAACCCAAAATCTCAATACAATTTCGTTTGTTCTCATGAACCCCGAATATCCTAAATCTTGCAAGCGACTGACTCATTGAACGACTCATAAAAAACAAACTTATTCGCAGAAAAGGCGTTTCTTATTTTGTACATTGTATTCCATGCAGGTAGCTACGCATGAACAGAACATTCTCTTCCACGGGATTCAATGAAAAGTTTTCAAGGAGATTTCAATGCTCCAGACGTGGAGTTTTTCTAAAACTACAACCTCACACATAAAAATTAAACCGATAGTCCTATACTAGTCTGTCCTCAGTATCTCATTTATATAGTCTGAATGCAGTATTTTAAGCAAATAATTACCAAAAAGAACAAACACCGGACTAGCGGGAAGTTCTTTTTCTCGTAGACTCATACGCCCACTTCACAGTTTCATATCAATCCACATGCAGGCTGCTTCTAATTTTAGTTGAGTTTTAGTGAAAGAAGGAAATCCTTGATAAATTGCAAGCGTATAAGATTCTGCAACAAATATCAGTGCACCTAGATGCGGGGAATTCCGAGTCTTACCGTTAGTTGTGCAAAAATAAGAACAAAGGTATTGCTGGAACATGCACTCGCAACCCCATACACCAACTCATGATACAGGACTGGCTGAGACAAACCTGTCAAACCAACAGGTACATAGCGCTCCAGGAGTACGGCGTTTTCTACGAATTTGAAGCATAGAAAAGATTTTATAGCTAACACTGCGCTATGTTCATATTTTCATCAGAATATACGTGATAGACTGATAGTGTGGTAACTATTAATTTTATCGAAAGTTCAAACACCACATAGACATAATATACATGGAGACCATACAGTAAGCGATATTGAAAAAGAGCTGAGGTTCTAATTCATCATTAGGAAAAAATTTACAGAGCACTCAGAGGTAAGAGTAGAGAAAAGATAGTATAAAAGATGGTATGAAATAAATTCAGCTATTTACCTTAATTTCATTTGTAACGGTCAAACTAACGGATGATCGAGTCTTCAGATACAAAGTTCTTTTTCATTCACAAAACAGCAGCTTAAATATCACCAGTATATGATTTCAACTCTATAAAACCACTCAAATTTTGAAAAATAATACATTTTCCTGCAGACCGCTACCTTACAAAACAGAAACGATTTGGGTGAGCACGGAGACCTGCACTCCCCACTTCCACTGATCCGTAAACAATGCCACATTTTAGAGCGAATGTGCTGTTATAAGCGTTGAACCATGCTGATAAGATAAGCTTGTCTTAAACCTTATTACTCCTTACGAGGCACCCTGCTACAAAGCCATTGAGCCTTTGATACCAAAGGCCATCGAGCCTTATTTTAATGCTTCTTGCCGATATGCTCCGACATTTCAACCAATGTTTGTTTCTGACATACAAATCATATTTCAAATGCCTTCTTAAGATTGGCACTAATAAAATAACACTTCTTAAATAAATAAAATTGGGGGATGAAAACATGACACTTTTATTCAACAGAACGTCTTGATCATTCTATAAACAAGCCCGTACTATCATATTGATAAACTAGTAAATTCTAAAAAGCAATCATTTGTGGCTATCCGAATATCATTGCAATGTTATTCAAGATTTGTGTTAATGCGCGTTTCTCACGAGTCGTCTTCATTTTTACAATTATATTAGCGTTTTCTGTTTCGAGTAAATCGTCAGATGTATAAGAGAATCTCCAGAATAGAGAAAAATTGCAAGTTCAGTGAGTTAAGAAATACTGTAACGTGCGACGCGGAAATTATCTTCACATCTATTTTATCAGTTTCGATGCTCTAAGGATATTACTCCACCGTCAATAAACCTGTTGAATAGTCTACGTCGCAAGGCCCGCCCTGCGATTTGAACAATTTCTTGATTTGGACTTACTTAAAATTACTAAGACATTTTTCAGTAAACCAAAATTTGTTTTCCCATCTTTCCTCGCATGTCTACAGCGCTAATATTGGATTGAAATGTAATATTTTCCTTAATATAAGAGCCATGAAAAATTTATAATCAATCTTATTTCTTCAAATTCAAGGACATGCGAGATTATGTATCGAAACCTTGCACTCTCTATCCAGGCTAATTATTGTGCAGCCTCAAGCTGGCATTGTGATGTGTACTGTCACGACATTAGTGCACGTCGAGACTCCATCACCGGTTGCGCCTCATATCGCGTGCCAAGACAAAGCATTAATCAGCCATCATGTTTGTGAACCTGTGCCTCTTCAGCGAACCAATAACACCTATGGCGGTTGTTAAATTGGAGGAGCGAGTGTTGACATATCCTCATCCTGCTTGCATTTTAGTGCGATAAAAGGCTAAGTAATTGAAATGTTAAATCTGTGACTCATTTGTAACCTTGGAATTTTTTGCAGGTTCAAATTGATACCAAAAATCTGATCAACGTTTCTATTTTATCACTATTTTTTGAAAATTTATATCTATTATATCCACAATTTTTCACCGTATGACAGCGAGAAACGGGATGGCGACCACCGTTTGACGATTAGCTTACACTCATATCATGACGAAAAAATTTAGACACGAAATATATTCTATCACTGCAAATGTAATACCATAAAACTTATATATTTTCAATCTGACCCTTCAAAATTCATCACTTATTTAAATAGGCCACTAATGACTGGAGATTTTTTAAACGGGAGGAGAGTTTCTATTTCCCGTCACGACGCACTGGAGTATATTTTTGACAAGCTATTGGGTCATGTAGAATTAAAACCTTTTTACGCGTTAGTGAATGATTGCTCTCTTTATAAACACACCCGATCTCAAATAATTGCCTTACTTTTTATCCAGCCGTAAATAAAATTCCTAAATAAAATTACATTTTACCTCGCTGTCGAAGATGGTTAAATTATAGGCTACACAGCTCTTGTCGCAAACAATTGTATTCTGATACAAATGTTAAAAAAGTAAAATCATGGACTCTTGGCCCAAATTCTTCTTCATTACGATATTTTTGAGTTGTTAAGAATTAGCAAGCATGGCAAATGGACACCAGTATGAAATATTTGTTCAGTGAACACAATACTGAGAATGGATAAATGGTCTGGGTACTCTGAAATCATCTCAAATAATTCGTTTGATTTAGTTCGGTTAACGCTCTCATCATCGTCTAGAATTGGATCGGCACCGACAACCTTGACCCAAATTTTGATCAGCACTCTAACTGCCTGCAGACGCGGAGCCTGTCATTCCCACGTTATGGAGCATGCAGCGCTTAACAACGACCATGGCGAAACAAAACTATATGTAATAGCAATGCCTATTTGCAGTCATCAACTCCAATGTAAATAGTAGCAGTCTGGCACTGTGGAACCACCACGCCAGTGCAGTATCCGACCGAGATGAGCATGGCAAAGCTTTGTTTTTCCATCGACGCATACTTAACCCTGTAACGCGCAGTGCGTCAGTTGAACACTGAACAGTTTAATTGTTAGCTCGAACTACGAGCTGAGTTTGAACGTCATTATTGTGTTTGCACACAGGCTTGCCTGCCTTCAGGTCAATGAGTCCCCAAGCTAAGATCTGCATTGTATACACTGCATGTATACTTTTGACCCAATTTTGTAGTTAGGTATACATTTTTGCCAATTTATTGACAGGCTTAGAAGAATTTCCTGCAACTACGACAAATTAGCACGTCCATAAAGGAATTGCATACGAGCGACTTACCATGCATTCTGAAAACTTGTTTTAAACCTGAACCAAAGCCAAGGTTACTAGGTGATATTTCGAATATGAGGAACCTAATAAAAAATTGTAAAATAAATAATTCGTACAGTAATAGAATGTTATATCGATACAAATTTTACCAATGCAAAAATTTCATGCAAATCATTATTAAAAAGTCAGTAATGTGTCATCATTATACAATTATTTCAAGTCTCAAAGGCCCAATATTGAGAGACAAACGTGAATGACAACGCGTAAATGAATTACAAATTTTTAAAACAGAAAAAAAGTTTTAAGATGGAAGGGACACTGAAGGTAAATGAGCGTAAACTTCATTGATGAGAATTACAAAAATGGCGTAAACCCCACTTTTTTAATGCCTTTTAATTAAATCATTATTTCTATATTTCAACGTACATGCTGTCAGCGGGGTAAACCATCGTCCGCAAATTCTTAATTCAGGCCAACAACAGAGCAAAAGGTAAAAAGTTCTATTAGGATGATGTTGGTAACTGGAAATTTGATTCTGTAAAATAATTTCGTGATCTAATACTTTTTTTTATATAAGCGTGCAGCTCTGGGCGCGTTAATCCCTATACGTGGAGCACAGTAGGCTATCTTTCCATGTGTCTTTAAACAGACAATTAAGGGCTGCTGAAGCCATGCTGAAAGCGTCGTCACTTGTGCAATATTGTACCTCTGTCGTGAGGCTTACATATATCAAAATTTATAAAAACAATGAATGAATACATGCAGCTTGTTATACCTTGAACTCTCTCACTTTAAAATTGGGTCAGTTGAGATTTTATTTAAATTCATCGAGAGGTCATGGTTGATTTGGGTTCACATGACAGCGGTCAGAGCGGACGGTCGCGATGCACGTTTTGTTCTCACTCTTAAGCTGGCAGACTTCCTCTCACTTTAAAGAGTAGATCAAGAGGTAAAGATTTCACTTTTTATGTAATATATTTCGAGGTTATGTGATTTTAGACGTGATATTATGATGCCTACATAATATCTAAAGATATTCATTTAAAAAAGTTTCTGATATGGTGAACGATATGAATAAAAAAATATGAAATATATAAAATATATTAGATATATTTATATTTATGTACACCTAATTATTTTATGCAAGTTTTATTAAAGACCAGAGCGTATATCCAAATAATGATTTTCTTATTAATTTTCTCGATGCTGGGAACTAGGCTTTTGGCGGGATTTGAAAGTTCGAATATAAGATTTCCAAATGACCCAGGTATGAAAAATTGGGAACATAAATCCAATAATTGAAATTCCTAATTCATTATATGAACAATACTTGGAAAAAATTATTTGTCTGTGATGGAAATTATAGTAGATTTGTTACCTAAAACTGAGAAAATTAAATTTTTTAATTTAGATTCTTTTTTATATAAATTTGAAGAATATGTTTTATGTACAATTCATTGTGAAAGTAAGGTCTGTGAGATAGCGAGCGTCGTTTCAAACGCAGTCTTCCTCAGTCTGCAAGCCATACCCTGGCATCATTCTTCAAAAACATTCAACAAAGTAATGAAAATGTAATTATTAGCCGTAAGAAATCATAGTAATATATCCCACTAAGTTCATCAAGCGGGTCCGTGACACGATTTACTTCGGGTCGAGCCGAAGACGCTCTTCGGTGACCGACCCTCGTTGCAGCACTGAGGTCAATCACGGTAGGTGGGTTAACGCAGCTTAGTATATAAGCAGGCTCTTCGGCAACTCGGGTCACAAACCAATTGGTCTCCAGCCTGACAACATCCGTCTCCAGCAGTCTTAGAGTCTTTGCGCAATGAAGCTCATCATCATACTCGGTACGGCAACTAAATGTAGTAAAACATTTTAAATTGTTATTTCAAAGTTTTAGTTCTGTTTTTTTTTTCTTATATTAGTTATTCGTTACATTAATGTAATACTGTAGTCAGTAAATTATTTTTCATAAATTTCGGAAAATATTCGTTCCTCTAATCTGAAATTACGCGTGATACCTAAAATCGATTTTCATCATAACTGGAGACATATTTCAGTCGAGTTAAAACTAAGAAACATCTATAGGTGCTGACAAAAATGTCATATAGACATGTAAAATGAATAAACAGATCCATAAATCATACAAGAAGTCAAAATATGTATAATATAACAATTGAAGTAAAAAACAATTTCTTGTGCGCAGCGCTTCTGGGAGCCTCAGTTGCAGACAAGTCCTTTGGTCCTCGCAATGGTTATCAAGCCCCTGGGAACAGGAGGGCTAACGGAGGCAGCAATGGACGAGCTAACGGCTTCAACGGAGGCAGTGTCAGCAATAGCTATAGTGCTCCATCCAATGGAAGATCCAATGGCTTCGGAAACGGTAATGCTGTAGGTAACAGTTACAGTGCACCTGCCAACGGTGGATTGAATGGTTTCAATGGAGGAAGCGTTGGCAATAGCTACAGTGCCCCCAGAAATGGAGGTTTTAATGGTGGAAATGGTCAGACCAACGGCGTCAATGGAGGCAACGCTTACAGTGCGCCTAGCAACGGCCGCATCAATGGAGGCAACGGAGGAAACGGCTACAGCGCCCCTGCCAACGGAGGCTCGAACGGTCTGTCGTCAGCGTACGGAGCTCCCAGTGCTGAAGAGGAGCTCGCCGAACTGGCCGCCAGTCTTCCCGGTGGAGGAGTTCCTGGAGAAGATTTCCCAGTGCTCTCCGAGGTGCCCGACACCGGCTTCCAGTGTGGAGACCAGGCCTTCTCAGGATACTACGCTGACGATGCCGAGGAAGCCAGATGCCAGGTCTTCCACATCTGCCAGCTGCGAGAAAGTGGTAAGGTACAGCAAGACTCGTTCCTGTGCCCCAACGGAACCATCTTCAACCAACAATATTTGGTGTGTGACTGGTGGTTCAACTTTGACTGCAGTCAAGCCCAAGGATTTTATTCAGTCAACGAACAAATTGGAAAAGTTGAGAACAATGGAGCCTCCGGAACCCAATCGCTCAACAACGGCTATGCAGCTCCCACTAATGGACAAAACGGAAATGGACTTGCTAATGGCAACGGACAGAACGTAAATGGTTATTCCAACGGAAACGGTTCTACTGGCTTAGATGGTCTAGGCGGATCGAACGGCAGTCGCCGTAATGGGTATGGGCCCTCAGGAAACGGAAATCAAAATTCTAACGGCAACGGCAATGGTGCAAGTAGCAACGGGAACGGCAACAGGTACGGAGCTGGAAACGGCGTCGCACCTGTGGTGGACTTCCGCGCTAGTACTTACTCCAACGTCAACGGCGGCGCACCAAGTGGCACCGGATATTAAGAGGAGAGCACCGAGCTCACTGTAGCAAAGATGTATAATTATTGTGATTAATATCCGCAATGTTCTTTCACGGCTTATTTTGAATCATCTAATTTATTTTTCATTGAAAGAGTACTACGTATATAATTTTTATTATACTTATGTTTGATTTCAAAATGATTTTTCTGCTCAAGATGACTTTTATTCTGACACATGAGCTCGCTTCTTCGTTTTGAAGCTTTTAATGCGTGCAAGGAGCATTTTCCCATTTATTTCGTCTTAATCTTTAAAATTCACTGTGCGGGCAAAAAATCTTCTAATATATTGTAGAATTCTAAATAAGGCAATGAGTTTACAATAGACTCGATCATTATTGAATAACGGTTAGAAGCGGCGATGTGCCTATATAAATGAGCTCTAAATTTTACCGAAGTTAGCAACATAATAAATCTTTCACTGTTTTCCGGCTTTTTTCAACAACCATTAAAAAAATTATTTATGTATGTTTTTACTCAATCATATCAAACGCAGTTCAAAAATCACGATGTTTCAATTTATATATTCTCATATTAAAAGTTATAATAAATTGTAATGCCTTTTTCATGCTGCATGACTAAGCATTTATATCGGACAAAGTTTTAAGACTACGTTTGCACGATGAACATTTTGCTGGTATTTAGCTCTATTCCTGCAGTGTCATTTACTCTTTGAAAAATGAAGGATTCCTTCACGTAGAACGGTTGAAATTGTCTTAGCCAATTTCGCCGCTTTGGTAATTCAGACAAAAATGTAAGCTCCAGTAATCGATGATTTAAACACACCGGGCTGTTAAGTTTCATACATCATATGTATTCCATTTGGTATTGGTCATTGAATGATGAAAAATAGTTATTGTATGGTTTAATTGTTTGAACATTCCCGACGTTTGCAGGCAATCAAGAAAATCGTAAGTTTCCAATTAAGGGAAAAATACGAATCCGTCGGTTCTCTTCTAACTAAATGTAACTGAAGATAAAATTTAAGGTATTAAATAATGGATGAATCATTTACTTCTCGTTCACGAAGCCTTCGTGAAATTCAATACTTTAGATAATAAATATGTGGCGTTTTTCCTGAGTCAGATGTGACAGCCAATACAGGAGAACATTAATGCAACCCAGTGTTTTTTTTTAACTTTGGATGACAGTTGGTGTCTTTATGGGCTGCAGAAAAACTGTTAAAATCTGACACTTTAATTAGACTTTGGATAATATGTTTTAAATAAGTTTGACTGGTAACAATAGTTTCAGTCTTTTATCATTTTTTTGTTCACCAGCAACCAAAATTTCAACATTTATTCAGCAATTTAAAGATTATCAATAAATTGTAAATGAATTACAATAACACTAAAAACGAGTAGATAGCTACATAAATTGGTAAAAATATATATTAGAACTCGTTACAAAAACTTTCTGTCGCATGTTAAGCTCCATGTTAATTGCGGATATATTTACTGCCGTCAATTCAATTCACACTTAATGATCTTGGTAACGAATGTTAGCAAATTATTGAGTTAAAAATGTAAGCAATTGAATACATTAGTAAGTAATGACTGATGCATTAGGGATAAAAATGATTCAAAGTGAATCAAACTGCAAATGACATCCGGAATATACTGAAGTCACAATAATTTGTAATCAGTATAATATATAGCTATTATTTTTTGAGAAGTCAATTCAAATTTTAAGCGGTTTTAACTTACAAAAATATGCGTTTAAAAATTGGTTTTTAAAGACAACACTTCTGGACAATCCAGTACCTTGGATGTTACACATGTACAATGAATTTCTAATTTCATTTTCATATATTAAAAAAAATTAATCTTCAAATTTTTTTAAGATATCAAAATTTTGTAAATTTTAAAAATTATTTATTCTGTCAATTGATTCATGTATTGTCTCTGACTTTATGCAATTGTGCAAAATTTCAGATCAATTGGACATGGCCTACGATACGCGCTTTGCATGATGGCCGAAAACAGCTCGATTGGAAATGATTGAGCGCATACAACAACTTGATCATAAATAAATTGAAAATTGAATGGATTTATGTCTCCATGATAAATTAAATTTTGAGCAGAATAATAGTTCTTTGGTTGAATTTTCATTTTTAACGTGCGAAATTTGTTTTGTCGGAAGCATAACAGTTTTTTCTTGCGTTTTAAGTTGGTATGTAGTTCTCCGGTGCATATTTTTGATTCGCTTCAAACAATATTCTTGATTGTCTAATCTTTCCTGCAGAATGTTTTTTAATTGTTGATACTTTTGGAAATGTCTTAATATTATTTGATTTAGTTCCCTTCAATCTTTGAATCTTCGTTACTTAACTACTTACTACTACTTAACTTGCATTTATTTTATTTTATATTATATATATTATTTTATTTTTTTACTACTTAACTTGCATTTATTTGTAAGCACACCCAACAGTGAAACCAGTTTTAATTCATCAGGTTAATTTATTAATCATATAAATACATGAGAGTATCCGAATGTTACAATTTTTCGTCCAGTGTGTATTACAACGCTCCGTAGCCTCCATTCTGGCCGTTGCCATTAGCAAGTCCGTTTCCGTTCTGCCCGTTAGTGGGAGCTGCATAGCCGTTGTTGAGGGATTGGGCTCCGTTGCTCTCCACTTTGCCAATTTGTTCGTTGACTGAATAAAATCCTTGGGCTTGACTGCAGTCAAAGTTGAACCACCAGTCGCACACCAAATATTGCTGGTTGAAGATGGTTCCGTTGGGGCACAGGAACGAGTCTTGCTGTACCTTACCACTTTCTCGCAGCTGACAGATGTGGAAGACCTGGCATCTGGCTTCCTCGGCATCGTCAGCGTAGTATCCTGAGAATGCCTGGTCTCCACACTGGAAGCCGGTGTCGGGCACCTCGGAGAGCACTGGGAAATCTTCTCCAGGAACTCCTCCACCGGGAAGACTGGCGGCCAGTTCGGCGAGCTCCTCTTCAGCACTGGGAGCTCCGTACGCTGACGACAGACCGTTTGAGCCTCCGTTGGCGGGTGCGCNCGCAACGGTGGTAACGGTTTGAATGGTAATGGTGCTGGAAGCAGCAGTCGCACTAATGGTCGTAACGGTGGAACAAACGGTGGATCCAGCGGCAACGGCTACAGTGCGCCTAGCAACGGCCGCATCAATGGAGACAACGGAGGAAACGGCTACAGCGCACCCGCCAACGGAGGCTCAAACGGTCTGTCGTCAGCGTACGGAGCTCCCAGTGCTGAAGAGGAGCTCGCCGAACTGGCCGCCAGTCTTCCCGGTGGAGGAGTTCCTGGAGAAGATTTCCCAGTGCTCTCCGAGGTGCCCGACACCGGCTTCCAGTGTGGAGACCAGGCCTTCTCAGGATACTACGCTGACGATGCCGAGGAAGCCAGATGCCAGGTCTTCCACATCTGCCAGCTGCGAGAAAGTGGTAAGGTACAGCAAGACTCGTTCCTGTGCCCCAACGGAACCATCTTCAACCAACAATATTTGGTGTGTGACTGGTGGTTCAACTTTGACTGCAGTCAAGCCCAAGGATTTTATTCGGTCAACGAACAAATTGGCAAAATTGAAACTAACGGAGCCTACGGAGCACAGTCGTTCAGCAACAGTTATGCAGCTCCAAGGAACGGCAATGGCCAAAATGGAAATGGATATGCAAATGGAATTTCGCAAATTGGCAATGGATTTTCTAATGGAGCTAGGCCGAACGGTAACGGATATTCTAATGGCAACAACAGGAACGGAGGGAACGGTGGAAACGGCAGGTCAAGCAAAGGCAACGGATATAGCGGTTAATTAAACAAAGCTAATGAGAGATACCGTATAAGCAACGAATGTTTTTATATTTCAGTCTTATACATCCATCTGGTGTGGTCAGGTAACATTTCGAGAATGATTATCAAAATTCAGCAATCCGAATAACAGTGGAATTCCATATATGTTGCTATACGTATAATATTAATTTTACAAGATTTGAATTTTTTGCGTTCGAACTGGCACGTCTGTTGAAAAAACTTTTTCTGTAACTTGACACCTAATTTTTATGCCCTCTTGAATTCATTTCAACGTTGTGAACCTTAATGAAATGGAATCTCAGAGCCTCAGTCATTGCGCAGCAGAGGCAAACGAAATAATTATCGCTCTTGTATTCAACATTTTTAGTAACCTTTTTAGTAACCCATGCCATAATTTCTTGAAAAGATTCCTAAAATTTCACACAAATCTCATCAGAAAAAAAATGATTATATCAAGCAAACTAAAAGTCGATTTCTTTATTTTCTGCCCGAGTGTTTGTGTTTAACTATCATGAAATGAATATGAAATTCTATGTATTAGAATATTTTTTATAATGGCCTTAATTGAAATATGATTTTTGCGTTGAGTTCAACTCATTTGTCAATTAAACTCGACCTCGATAGATTTTTATTTATCGCAAATGAAACATTCAATATAGGAGTCCCATCATTACCACTCAAAATATATTGTATTTATTGCAATGAACTGTTGAAATTATTTTCATCCTCCCATCCAAATTTCAACAAATTTCGGTAAAATGTGAAGGAAATTTGAAAATGAGACAACGATTATTCCATGTTTCTTTCGTAAACAATCATTTTCGGCACGGAACTCAGACATCAATTTCAAACGGTGAACACTGATCGTAAGTTAATGAGTAAAACATAACGTGTTGGAAATATCGGCACATAGTATTACTTGATAAATTTTCATAACAAAACAACTCGGCATTACATGTGTTTATACCAACATTTAGTAATGGATTTGTTGATATCCTGCTGCTCTTTTCATAGGAACCGTTTAGGAAACTAACTCAATTTTTTACCATATCTACACTCGCTCATAATTATAGGTAATACAGGAATAAATATCACAAAAGAATTTTCCTACTGACTCTTCCTCATGAAAGCACACCAATTTTTTTTTTTTTTTGCTTTATGTTTTTGAGCAGTCGATGTTGCGGACGCTCGTATAGTAAGTAAGGATTGAAGGTAGAGGCTCAAATTTATTTCAATTTATACTAAATGTTATTACCGCTTTGGCCGCAAAACTTTGTTCAAAATTTAATATAAAGTTGTACTAGATATAACTATTGTCATTCGAACAGAAAATTTAGCTTTGTTTCTAACAGCTGAACACATTCCTATGTAGACGACACATTGTAACGTGTATAGTAAGACTTTTTAGAGCATAAAGCCGGATGATTGAAATCGTGCGTCCGATTGGTTCTCGGACATTCAAAAAAATCGTGATCAATGCATAGCCATCTGTCGCAAGCATAGTGACGCGAACGTTGCATCCGAACATCTACGAATTCAGCTCAAAAAATTACTGTAAAATGCCTCTCTGCGTTCAAAGTATTCCGCTACTTTTATGACGAACCTTCCGTCTGTTACCGTCTTTTGCTTGTCTCTATCACGAGTCGTACTTCTTGTGACCCGAAGTTCGAGAGAGAAGAATAGATAAGTGTCCTCGCAGCATATTGAATGTATTTTGCATCTGAAAAGCCTGTGTGGTGTTCTTCAGAAACCAATTTTCAGTAACCTACCCCTTCACCAGTTGTAGACGCTATCCGCGGCTGCAAAACCGTTTCGATTCGATGTTAATAACATCACATGGCCCATAAAATCAAATTGGTGTCTTAATTGTGGGATTCACACATTTTATTTTGTTTATAAGGCCTGCAAAATAATGTTGTTTGATTAGGCTGCTTTGTTATAGAGCAATTTTGATCATTTTCATTCATTTGTAAAATTATGTTGAATAATGAAATGATTTATTATAATCCTAGATATGGCCTATAGTGAACCAATTAAAATGCATTCTTCATGAATTGATGCTTTGTTGCTCTCCCTCAACTTCTGGCTGATTCAAATGAGTTACTCAAAAATATTTTAAATGCTCGCCTACACTCGTCATGTTACCGCAAATAATTTGTTCCATTAATCATAAATTAAAGTTTTTAGGTTTTCTTTTAATATTTTATCCCTCCGACACCCGACTCAATTTTACCAAGAGATATATTCTCACAATTTTTATTACATTATCTTTGAGGCTAATAACTTACAGTACCACACAAGGCTTATGCTGACCGTTACTTACAGTACCACACATATGGCGTATGTTGAGTAACTTTCAATACAATGTATGTACGTCATCAATTGAACATGACGCGCGCACCTCAGACGAACAATATGCCTAAAAATTGTATTTAAGAATTAAGAATTCAATACCGCGAATGGCGAAAAATATGAGTGATAGTTAGCATCGCGTCTACTGGTCGTAATTTTGAATGCTTATACGTACGTGTGCTGCCCACGACTTCGAGGAATGCGTCATGACCGCAACTTCGAATTTTCTTGATGTAGGAAAAATAAAACATTTTATTACAGTTTTTTGAACTCACAAGAATTCCTAATGTCATTTTTCTACCTTATAGTTTCACTGGTTATGCTGAAAAAAAAAATTACAGAGAATTTTGCCACAATTTTTTTCAGTTCAATTACATCAGAGCAACCTTTTAATCTGAAATTTGCAGTGATAGGGACAAAGTTTAACTGTGGCTATGGAAAAAATTAGTCACAGGCATTTTTTAAGTGTACCTATTAATAGAATTGTTTTGATTATCAGTACGCCCATTTTAGCTCCAGAATTTTGCAGGATACGATTCAATTTACCAACACGTCATGCTCACAGATAGAGATAGAAATGCGAACTTGCGTAATATAGCTTGCGTAATATAGATAGTAAAAAATGTACTTGGATAATGCAGGATTTTCTAAGCGATTAGGCTGCCTCCGTGTTGAATGAGTCTTCCAATTAAATAACGGCCTACGCGCTGTTGTTATATAGCGGCCTACGCGCTGTTGTTATATAGCGGCCTACACGCTGTTGTTCTATAGCGGCCTACGCGCTGTTGTTATAGCAGCCTACGTGCTGTTTGTTGAATAGCGGCCTACGCGCTGTTGTTATAGCGGCCTACGTGCTGTTTGTTATATAGCGGCCTACGCGCTGTTGTTATAGCGACCTACGTGCTGTTTGTTATATAGCGGCCTACGCGATGTTGTTATAATGGCCTACGTGCTGTTGTTATATAGCGACCTACGTGCTGTTTGTTATATAGCGGCCTACGCGCTGTTAATTGTTATAATGGCCTACGTGCTGTTTTTTATATAGTGGCCTACGCGCTGTTGTTATATAGCGACCTACGTGCTGTTGTTATATACCTTCCTACGCGCTGTTGTTATAGCGACCTACGTGCTGTTGTTATAGTGGCCTACGCGCTGTTGATATAGCGGCCTACGCGCTGTTGTTATAGCGGCCTACGTGCTGTTGTTATAGCGGCCTACGCGCTGTTGTTATAGCGGCCTACGTGCTGTTTGTTATATAGCGTCATACGCACTGTTGTTATAGCGACCTACATGCTGTTGTTATAGCGGCCTACGCGCTGCTGTTATAGCGGCCTACGCGCTGTTGTTATAGCGGCCTACGTGCTGTTTGTTATATAGCGGCCTACGCGCTGTTGTTATATAGCGGCCTACGTGCTGGTTGTTATATAGCGGCCTACGCGCTGTTGTTATATAGCGGCCTACGTGCTGTTGTTATAGCGGCCTACGTGCTGTTTGTTATATAGCGGCCTACGTGCTGTTGTTATATAGCGGCTTACGCGCTGTTGTTATAGCGGCCTACGCGCTGTTGTTATAGCGGCCTATATATACGCGCTTTTGTTATAGCGGCCTATACGCGCTGTTGTTATATAGCGGCCTACACGCTGTTGTTATATAGCGGCCTACGCTCTTTTGTTATATAGCGGCCTACGCGCTGTTTGTTATAGCGGCCTACGCGCTGTTGTTATAGCGGCCTATACGCGCTGTTTTTATAACATAACATAACATAATGATCTCGGCGCTGAAGTGCAGGCCTGATGTGGCCTGTCGCCGATTCTTATCCTTTTCGTGTCTTGTTCACAGGAGATCTAAAATCGTGTCATTTGACCGGATCTTTTCATGACTGACGATAGTTGAAAATAGCTACTCGACTTCCACCGGGTTCGATATGGTGCTAGGCATTTCAAATTTGAACATATATTTTTCCATAGCTCCATCTAGTCTGTTCTTGAACGCGTTCATACTTGGAACGCCAATTATGTCATCGGGGAGGCTGTTCCACATAGAATAGAATAGAATAGAAGTGTCGGCATTGAAGAAATAGGCCCATGGCCTGTTGCCGATTCTTAAACTTTTCGTGACTTGATTCACATGGGATCCGGCCTTTGGAGCCCGATCTTTCCATAACTGACGATATCTTTCCATAACTGACGATATCTTTCCATAACTGACCATGTCGATGACGATGACATGTCGATGATTCGAAGCGAGAAGAAATGTTGGCGCGTGGAGAAGTTGCAGCATGGTTTTTTAGTTTATTGCCGTGGCCCCTGGTGTTGGTTCTTGTTTCAAATTCCAATAATCCTTCGGGGACCTTGTATAAACCATGAGGTTACTTGTATACTTCAATTAGGTCCCCACGCAGACGTCGATAACTGAGGCTTAGAAGCTTCATAATCTTTAATCTTTCTTCATAGGACTTGCCCTTCAAGCCTGGAATTATCCTTATTAGCACTGGGAAATCTTCTCCAGGAACTCCTCCACCGGGAAGACTGGCGGCCAGTTCGGCGAGCTCCTCTTCAGCACTGGGAGCTCCGTACGCTGATGACAGACCGTTCGAGCCTCCGTTGGCGGGGGCGCTGTAGCCGTTGTTCAGTCCATTTCCGGGAGCTTGGCCATTTCGTCCACCGTTTGCTGGAGCGCCGTAGCCGTTGGCCAGTCCCGACTGGGGCTGGCCAATGGCCACCGCAGCCAAAGATGCTGAAAGGGTTAAACTGAGGTAAAATTTCCAATTACTATAGAAATTTTTTCCAAATATGTACGTGACTAAATTTTTAACATTTTTTTCAAATATCGGATGCTTTGGTTTTCCTTTAATAGTTATTATAAATGAAAAACAATCTATTATTGAATTCCTATCTGTAACCAAAGCTTTCATTTATTGGAAACTATACATAGTAAATGCAATAGTGTATTACTATTTACTTACCAAGGAGGATAACTGTGATCATGGTTTCAGACAGAAATAGGTAGGAGAAGTAGTGGTTCTTGGGGAAGTGTAGGCAAGTCTGGATGCCCTCTCTGGTCGCGCTCGCCTTTTATACTCAAATGGAAGGCAGAAGTAACGTCATGACCTGCACTTGTCATAGAGACGATCAGTGGCCACACTCTTGGAGATCAGAGAGAGGTAAGGTGATGCGCTGCAGGAGAATCTAGAGCGCCACTCAAGGTCCTTTTTGCGCGTTTGGATACCACAACAACGAAGATTCGTTGCATGAGATAGCAATAATCATAATATTTCATTCCCTTGCAATGACGATTCTTAAAATAAATTTGAGTATATATTATGTATTCTGCAAATGGAATAAGAGTTCAATGCGATCGCATATACGTACGTATTGTTCGTCAATTTCTGTCATGGCGACTCTTTGTCAATATAATTGATATACATAGAATTGCTAGTAATTTATTATGTATTATTTTGAGTATACATGTATTCCAAAAATATTACGCTTAATAATAACAGCCCTTGCCTGAAATTAATAAGGATTTGCACATTTTTTCGTAAGGTATAAAAATTTAAGTAATCCCGAGCTTTATTTTCTAAATTTTTCGTGAAGATCAAGTATAGTTTAGATTATTGATTTAGCATGTACTAATTGTGTTACACTTTTTGTAAAGAAGAACTCATACCGTGTGTCCTGCATGCTCTGCCGGCTTAAATAGCGGTAAGATTAAGCGACCAAGACGTCAGTTAAAGTCGACAAATTGACTAAGTTCGTCTCCGCGGCATTCGTCACAGGGTTGTTGCTCACCGGCGGCGGAAGCTGCAACCCTGATTGTACTGAATGTTGTCGAACAGTTCCTTTCAAGCAGCTGCCTAACACACAGCTCCCGTAAAACGATTTCCTAAACACAGCGCAATTTCCGACAGACAGTTCTTGGCACAGCTGCCAACACACTATTCCTTACACACAGTTCTTGACACCCAACACCCGATTCCCTCATGACAGTTCCTGATACAAAGCTCCAAATGCATGATTCCTGACAACAGTTGCCTCCACTCAACCCTCTCTTACATTTTTCCGAAATTCAGCTCCGGACGCACTGCGCCAGACAGTTTTCGTCGCACAGCTCCCTACAATTATGTTGACCGACAAACATGCTCGACACACATAACTTGGTGAGGACTGACGATGATTCCACCAGGACTCGTGTTGACTTACCAAGTTCCTTTTAAGGACTACAATCTCTGAATAGATGTCGAGCAAATGCAATCACGACAGATGAATGAGAAAACCCTTTGCTGAACTTTTCAACAAAACAAACAACAAAATACTTTTAATTTCTGACCCATTAGTCAATCGAAGTTTTTTTTAGTTGTCTAAACAACGCAGCTTAATTGTAAATAATGGACAAGGCCGTGACTTCATCAAACTGATAAAAGACGTTGTCATGGATTCGCAATTGGAATCTTTTAATGTCAACGGTCCATGAAGTGTCACGTGAATTATTGTGGCAACATTTCGCGGAAACGGGCTACGGGCAAGTAACTGCAGCCCGTCAGTTTATCCTTAGTCTCCAATTAATGTTATCCTTCAAGCTGTCAACAACAACCATTATCCTTAACGTTGACATTCACTGCATCGCCTGGGGGGTCTTGAATCACTACTGTAAGTGTTTTATTATTAGACGACTTCTTCCATTTTAATTATAAGTAAAATTTTCATGTTCGCATACCTCTTACATGCGTCATGACTTCATATCTGAATGGTTTACGTCCTTCACATTATACATTGTGAAATTAGTGTAGATCATTAGCTGGCATAGGGGCTAGTTGCATTTCTGCTCCCATTTCTCCCACTTGCAGCTTACAAGAACAACAAAGGAAAGATAAACGTAAGTTTGTTTGTTAATTAACTGCCTTGGCAGCATAGCCTTCTCATGAAACGCCCTGGACGGACGAAATTGGTTTACATCGATTTTTGCATCAAGGGGCGAGCGTGATTACACGACGACTTTTTTAAACACCGCACTTAAAAATGTTTCATGCGCGTAAGAGATGACAAACAAAAATCAGTGGCTGTTGGGTCTGGAAAGTGCCGTGGGTAAGTTGGCTTTTAGTGAAGCTTCATGTCACGGCTGCGACCGCTGCGTGTAAGCGGCGCGCTTGAGCTCATTAGTCGTAATGGTGCACTAGGACGGCCTTATTTAGCGGACGATCGAACCCTCGGAACGCTGAGCTCAGACGAGAGGAAGGCCCCTTCATGTGATCCACACTCTCGCTCTCCATGCGAGTGTTGTGCCTGAAGAGACGGCCTTCGATGTGATGCAGCAAGACTGATCGTGTTGGCTGATCTGCTTCACGATAACAAAAACTAAGTGATCTGCACCCAGGCTTTACACAACGACTAAAAGTGAAGACCTTCAAGACGAGCTCATCTGCCCAAGAACTAGGCCACGCTCGCAAGCCTCGTATATAATTACTTGCTGGCCAATGCTAACACGAGGGTCAGCTCTCCAGCTACTGGTAACCCATCATTACAGGCTGTTTCAGTCTCACCGTAATTTCTGGCCCAATGCAATAGTCGGCAAACTAAATTAGATCGAAATAAGTCAGGGTCAATTGCGATGCCAGATCTAAGTACTTATACTGTCAATCTAACAGAATTACTCGCTTGAAGGCAGCATCAAGTTCCAGTATTTGTATTCAGATCAGCTAAAAGCATACTAGCACTAATATTCGTGTCGGGTTGCATCGCAAATAATATTTCCACCGCTAAGTTAATGACTACAACGAAGTGAGGTATCATCTCTTTAGCCAGGCTGAGCATTGGTCATGATCGCATGATAGTAAGGAAAAAGTAAGTTCAATTTCATATGTAGCTAATCAAATGTTCATAATTAGTGGCATCGCACTTCCAATAGAAACTGGAGGAAAATACGCAATGCAGGAGAAAATGAATGAACACCGGAGGAATGATGCCTTCTAAGTACGCATCTAATATTAAGACCTAACATTTGTGCTCAAAAATAGTATTACAAGTCTCACAGACTACGACACGATTCCTAGAAAAAAATTAATGTCAAGGAATAGTGGTGAGTAGTCGTGCTGAATGCCCGGCAAGTACTACAGATGTACTTAGCAATCTTAATCTTAAACTGGAATCGAAACTCAATGGCAGAGTGGAAATCTGTATACAAGATACTGCGTCCGTTACCTGCTCGCCAATCGCTAATTTAGTCAAGCTTTCTGATGAATATTGTTATGTCGAATAGTTTAATTAGAATATTTTGTTTTTAAGAAAATGTTTCAATCACAAGAAATGATGAAATTTTCTTTATTTCGCCCGCGCAATTATGTACATTTCTTTTCAAAAAATCGCACGATTCGTTTACTTATAACAATTTCTTTTCACTCAGAACTTTGAATAACACTTGTATCTTCTTTATACAAGTGTTCCCACCTGTATCAACTCTAGGTTTGATACAACTCTTGCTTTTGGGAACCCCTAAAATTTGTAAATCCTCAAAGCAAGAGGTTCGTGCTAGCTAAAATCGTGTTTGTTTGGATTTTGACGCACAGATGTAAACATCGTGCAATGAAAAATAAGGCTTCTGCGGAAATTAAAGCTAAAAATTTTTTATTCCTGGTGCATAATTTAAACAAATCTTGTTAAACTCATTAATGTATAGAAATGTATTATGAATAAAATTTAATCCAAGAGTCTCAACCGTTTCCGAGATTCAATCCATTCAGTTAAAAAAAACTGAGCCCAAGTTGCATCGCTCAAAACTAACTCTTTATCTAATTGCAGCACCGTGTCCAACACAAAGAACCAAGTGAACAACATTTCAGCCAATTTATCATCCAAACTTTCGCTTGAATTTGAAGCCTATATCATTAGCATGACCTTTGCAGATTCCACACCGAACTATTAAAATAATTCAAAATAAAAATCAAACACGATTGCACTCAAGCCCGGCCTTTTTCCTATGAATGTTATTGTTATGCCTAATATGTCGGTATTGTGAAGAGCAGAGCAGGCTGGACGAGAGATCTGAAGAGACAGCACACGCTGAGACAGCACCGTGTCAAGGCTGCGTAATCATAACAACGTTTGGCGGGTTAAGATGCGCAGAAGCCTAAGCCGCCCAGACCTTTACGAAAGGCGATCGTGACGTGTGGCCGAGTTAAGGTGGCACGGAGCGTGAGAGTTCATGCACACGACGTCATTAGGGTGAGTAATGCGCAAGCGGCAGTGAGGCTCAATGAAGACAAGGAACTGGAGCCCAGGTAACTAGATACCACGTGAAGTAAATACTTGTACCCACGTATGCGTGGAGCCCACGCGATTATATTACTTGGATCTAAGTAAGAGTAAGGGCCTCACGAACATGTTACTTGATCCAAGTAAGACTGGGGCCCACAAGAACTGGGTATTTGGACCCAAGTAAGAGTAGGTCGCGCACAAATAGAATACCTTGATCCATAAGAGCAGCCTACGCAAACAGTATAATTGGACACAAGTAGGAGTGGTGACGAACGACCGGAACGAGGGATAGACGAACGAGGTAAAAGAGTAATCTGAAAAATGTTTATGCTACATGTGTAATGCTCTGCTTGAATATCATAAATTCATGATTTTTGAAAATAAGATTCATTTATGATATTCCTTCAGTAGAAGGCTACGAGCTAATTCTGTCGAGCTTTCCATTAAAATAATTACATGCAGTGAAGGAAAGTATGTAATCGACTTAATTTGTTTGACTTATACTTAAAATTTAACTTACTAAGTCAAGTTATGTGTGCATGAACCGTGTGCATGTGTCTCGTTCTGCCAACCAGCGTTTGCCGAATGATAATACATTTTGTGTGCCAGGTTTTCTCATTAACTCGACTGAGTGCTCTCCTTATACGAAGCGTTTCATTATTTTCATCGCGAGCACCTCGGTGCTTTGTGGCGCTGGGCAGCGAGCATGTTTTTTAACCGTTCCCACTTACATATGCGCTAAAAGTAAATGGAATGCATTTTGCACTAATACGGACCCACCGCGATGCATCACAAGTGTTTGTTGTCGTAATGACATCCATTGGGTCATATACTCATCTTCACAAACGACCCTAACCTCTGTTTTATTAGTCACAAATTTTTCTTTCGTTTTGAAAATCATACAGCAAGCTCTCCTTGACCCTTACTCCAATTAATTTTTTCAGCCCAATTAGATTTCAGAGACCCCCTGTTGAAGCTGAGAACTTGAGGAGACTTCAATGCTCCCAATGTGGTGATCTTAATAGTACCCAAGCGTGGCATGCAACTTGTTTACTGCTCACTCTCTTCGAGTCAACAAATTTTCTAATATTCATAGTAATAAATTAAGAGTTAACCTTCTATTCGTTGTGGCACTTGCTGATGAAATTTAATTATGTAAGTGATGTTGTTTTGCAGTAAGTATCGCTTTTGTAACGAGTGTATGAATTAGGTATAACTACGAACAACGTTTTTCTTCATTTTTTTCATTCAATAACGGGGAGTACAGTTTAATGTCAGATTGTGTTACACATAGAAAATTTTTAGTTACATTTCCAAATGGTTTTCTTGTCCTCATAAACATTGAGAATAATAAATTATGCCCAGTGGTAAATTAAAAGAGATACTTCATGAGGTCACTTGCGAACTTCTCCTTTACTGAATGTATCAGTTTTAGGCGAGCTGAAAGTAAGAGCTGTTTATACGATTTATAGTGACACAAATGTGACCACAAACTTCTCCGTACGGGAGTCCGGGGCGTTTTAGTGCGCTGGAGGTATCGGCGTTTGATAACATTAATTATTTCAGAACAAAATGAAATGCATGTCAAGCTATATGAATTCGGTTGGATGCTTTGTTTTACTGGAATTTGTTGTTGAGTTAATTTTTACTAACCGTATTCTTACTCGTGCTTGGACGCAGCACAAAATTTAATGAATACGTCCAGTGCTTGCCAGCAGGGAAGAGCCAACAATTACAATCAGTATGCGCGAGTTGAAGCATTTTCTATTGTTTTGTTAATCAGCGCTGAAAAACTGAAAATTTAGGCTTTTTCATTCGAAATTACTTCCAATTATATATGATATCCGGAGAAATATATATATGTTTTCTACGTTAGAAAAGGCATGCTGTTGGTCATACATAGCATAATAATGATGCGTGATGAGAAATTATTTCAATAATTGATGCGTGCATCTGACGCTAAGACTGCTTGCAAATTACATAGCCCTCATGATCATGCAGGTGCACAGATCGTTGCACGCATTACATAGGATGAATCGCAACTCTCTGCCGTAAGATACCCTAGTTCTTTCCATTCTTAATTTCATTTCACTAATGTTTTACGGTTGTTTCATATTTTCAATATTTTCTAGCTAACGAGTACAATTTCTTCAAGATATCTAATAACTCTGGTACCATTATAAGCAATAAATTGAAGCTAACAAAATACGAGTCGCCTGGAATAGAAAATGTACTCATATTACAATCATCAAATGATTTTGGATGCGTTACTTTAATGCAGTCATGTGATAAAAGAGTACCATCGTATATAACACTAGACTATATACACTAGACTTGACTGTGGCAGTGCAAGAGATAACAGAGCTTGTATTTAAATGCAATATGCTGGCTGTACTCCGGTCTATTATAAGCAATTTCCTGCAAAATACGACGGCATTCATATCAATTTATTACTGATCTTGCGGGTTGTGAATGCAAGTCGAAGTATCTACAAGATTTGAGCGTGAAAGAATTTTTTAGAAAAACCGCGCTCGAAAACCTTACTCAATTTTTACGGTTGTAAAAATTGAGTAAGTTGCAGTAATCGTCAAGTAGAACAAAGAGGACAAACACACTAGTGAAGCCTTCCTTCCTGAAGCTCTTCAAAAATCCATTAAGTATTTTAGAGCCCCCGGTGACAGGCCTTCGAGGTGAAGGTTGTGGCTGGCTAATAATAAGTCATTAGAATTTCATAGCCGCTGTCGTGATCGTGAGTGTCGGGCTGAAGCTTCTGCTCGCCGCGACGAAGGTAAGCGCTCGATCCAGCGTGCAAACATTATTATAGTCGTGTCGTAAAACTTGCTCGTGGAAAATATTATCAAAATAATATAATTCTTTACAGGATATGGCTTGAGTTATTTAGTTATTTGAAGTTTGCAGTTTCTTCAGTCCTGATTTATAGGACAATGGCCGACAGATACGTGAATAAAAATTCTCGAATATTGAATGTCGAATCGACGATTACGGTTAAGCGAGTTGCCATTCACTGGAAAATTCCTCTCTCGTGAAAAAATATCATAGTTTAAGCATGGAACTCCTCCATTTTGTTTATTTATGCTGTGCTGTTTATTTTCATCCTATTTTTCTTCGATAATAACGACGTGTTGTCATCATAACATTGTTTTCACAATAAAAGTTTAAATACATTTCAGAATAAATTATAGGAGTGAATTTGTTCTACCAAAGTCTTACCAGAATTAATTGATGCCAAGGCATGAACTTCTAATATCTACGTATTAGGCAATTGTGGAACAAGGAACAATAAGTGTTTTTTTATTGCGAACTTTACATGCTGCTTGATTTCGTTACAGCTGTCTCATAGCATTATAGTGCGTTTGCCTTTGTTTACATGGGACCAGTTGCGGTGTCCACTATGTAACAGGCGAGCCCCAATTGCTATACGTACTAATTATCCGGCTGGTGGCCTGGTGTATAGGAATACTGGCTGCTTCTGGGGTAATAAAGAGTATCGACCAGTCGCTGGTCACGTGACCAACTAAAGGCCGCCTGATTGGATGAGAATGAAGACAGTTAAAATTCATAGTATAGAATTCGCTTGTAACCAACTTTTTACAACACTTCTCTTTAGCTTCACTTCTTGTTTGTCTGTCTGTCTGTCTGTCTGTCTGCTACAAATCTTATAATCAATATTTAACACACTTCTACCTGTCCAATCGATTTGAAATTTGGCACACTTGCGTAAAGTTGGAGACAATGCATGAATCAATTGACAGAATAAATAATTTTATAAATTAAAATTTTTGTTTTTTTTTCAATATTAAAAAAATTAAAAAATAAATTTCGTCTCCTACAAATCTTATAATCCATATATGACACAATTTGACCTGTCCAATTGATCTGAAATTTTGCACAATTGCATAAAGTCAGAGACAATACATGAATCAATTGACAGAATAAATAATTTTTAAAATTTACAAAATTTTGATATCTTAAAAAAATTTGAAGATTAATTTTTTTTAATATATGAAAATGAAATTAGAAATTCATTGTACATGTGTAACATCCAAGGTACTGGATTGTCCAGAAGTGTTGTCTTTAAAAACCAATTTTTAAACGCATATTTTTGTAAGTTAAAACCGCTTAAAATTTGAATTGACTTCTCAAAAAATAATAGCTATATATTATACTGATTACAAATTATTGTGACTTCAGTATATTCCGGATGTCATTTGCAGTTTGATTCACTTTGAATCATTTTTATCCCTAATGCATCAGTCATTACTTACTAATGTATTCAATTGCTTACATTTTTAACTCAATAATTTGCTAACATTCGTTACCAAGATCATTAAGTGTGAATTGAATTGACGGCAGTAAATATATCCGCAATTAACATGGAGCTTAACATGCGACAGAAAGTTTTTGTAACGAGTTCTAATATATATTTTTACCAATTTATGTAGCTATCTACTCGTTTTTAGTGTTATTGTAATTCATTTACAATTTATTGATAATCTTTAAATTGCTGAATAAATGTTGAAATTTTGGTTGCTGGTGAACAAAAAAATGATAAAAGACTGAAACTATTGTTACCAGTCAAACTTATTTAAAACATATTATCCAAAGTCTAATTAAAGTGTCAGATTTTAACAGTTTTTCTGCAGCCCATAAAGACACCAACTGTCATCCAAAGTTAAAAAAAAACACTGGGTTGCATTAATGTTCTCCTGTATTGGCTGTCACATCTGACTCAGGAAAAACGCCACATATTTATTATCTAAAGTATTGAATTTCACGAAGGCTTCGTGAACGAGAAGTAAATGATTCATCCATTATTTAATACCTTAAATTTTATCTTCAGTTACATTTAGTTAGAAGAGAACCGACGGATTCGTATTTTTCCCTTAATTGGAAACTTACGATTTTCTTGATTGCCTGCAAACGTCGGGAATGTTCAAACAATTAAACCATACAATAACTATTTTTCATCATTCAATGACCAATACCAAATGGAATACATATGATGTATGAAACTTAACAGCCCGGTGTGTTTAAATCATCGATTACTGGAGCTTACATTTTTGTCTGAATTACCAAAGCGGCGAAATTGGCTAAGACAATTTCAACCGTTCTACGTGAAGGAATCCTTCATTTTTCAAAGAGTAAATGACACTGCAGGAATAGAGCTAAATACCAGCAAAATGTTCATCGTGCAAACGTAGTCTTAAAACTTTGTCCGATATAAATGCTTAGTCATGCAGCATGAAAAAGGCATTACAATTTATTATAACTTTTAATATGAGAATATATAAATTGAAACATCGTGATTTTTGAACTGCGTTTGATATGATTGAGTAAAAACATACATAAATAATTTTTTTAATGGTTGTTGAAAAAAGCCGGAAAACAGTGAAAGATTTATTATGTTGCTAACTTCGGTAAAATTTAGAGCTCATTTATATAGGCACATCGCCGCTTCTAACCGTTATTCAATAATGATCGAGTCTATTGTAAACTCATTGCCTTATTTAGAATTCTACAATATATTAGAAGATTTTTTGCCCGCACAGTGAATTTTAAAGATTAAGACGAAATAAATGGGAAAATGCTCCTTGCACGCATTAAAAGCTTCAAAACGAAGAAGCGAGCTCATGTGTCAGAATAAAAGTCATCTTGAGCAGAAAAATCATTTTGAAATCAAACATAAGTATAATAAAAATTATATACGTAGTACTCTTTCAATGAAAAATAAATTAGATGATTCAAAATAAGCCGTGAAAGAACATTGCGGATATTAATCACAATAATTATACATCTTTGCTACAGTGAGCTCGGTGCTCTCCTCTTAATATCCGGTGCCACTTGGTGCGCCGCCGTTGACGTTGGAGTAAGTACTAGCGCGGAAGTCCACCACAGGTGCGACGCCGTTTCCAGCTCCGTACCTGTTGCCGTTCCCGTTGCTACTTGCACCATTGCCGTTGCCGTTAGAATTTTGATTTCCGTTTCCTGAGGGCCCATACCCATTACGGCGACTGCCGTTCGATCCGCCTAGACCATCTAAGCCAGTAGAACCGTTTCCGTTGGAATAACCATTTACGTTCTGTCCGTTGCCATTAGCAAGTCCATTTCCGTTTTGTCCATTAGTGGGAGCTGCATAGCCGTTGTTGAGCGATTGGGTTCCGGAGGCTCCATTGTTCTCAACTTTTCCAATTTGTTCGTTGACTGAATAAAATCCTTGGGCTTGACTGCAGTCAAAGTTGAACCACCAGTCACACACCAAATATTGTTGGTTGAAGATGGTTCCGTTGGGGCACAGGAATAGCACTGGGAAATCTTCTCCAGGAACTCCTCCACCGGGAAGACTGGCGGCCAGTTCGGCGAGCTCCTCTTCAGCACTGGGAGCTCCGTACGCTGACGACAGACCGTTTGAGCCTCCGTTGGCGGGTGCGCTGTAGCCGTTTCCTCCGTTGTCTCCATTGATGCGGCCGTTGCTAGGCGCACTGTAGCCGTTGCCGCTGGATCCACCGTTTGTTCCACCGTTACGACCATTAGTGCGACTGCTGCTTCCAGCACCATTACCATTCAAACCGTTACCACCGTTGCGCCTTGTTGCGCCGTTCTGTCTGCCGTTGCTGGCTGCACTGTAACGGTTGCTGTTGCCGTTACCATTTCTGTTGCCATTGTTTTGTGCATTTCCATTTCGTGGAGCTCCATATGCATTTTGTAAGCCAATTTCATTTGCACCGGATTGCACAACTCCGTTTCCATTTCCATTCGCTCCGTTGATTCCATTGCCGTTCCCACCGCTTGGCAGAGAATAAGAGTTACTGATGCCGTTGTCAGCGATGCCATTTGACGGAAAGTATGAATCGCCTAAGCCGTTGACATCACCGTTTTCGCTTCCGTCGCTGCCGCCGTTGCTAGGCAGTGAGTAAGAATTGCTGATGCCGTTGCTGTCGCCGTTTCCGTTGCTAGGCAGTGAGTAAGAATTACTGATGCCGTTGCTGCCGCCGTTGCTGCCGCCATTGCCGTTGCTAGGCAGTGAGTAAGAATTACTGATGCCGTTGCTGCCGCCGTTGCCGTTGCTAGGCAGTGAGTAAGAATTACTGATGCCGTTACTGCCGCCGTTGCGACGATCAGCAGCGGCCAGTGCTGCAGCTGAAATAGACAATAAAGCATGAAATAAGATACCTTAAATTTAATCAGACAGAACAAATGTCTCCTCAAACAAATAATAATATGTGTGGATTGAGCCATCGTAGTTGTTTCTGATAATAATCAGAATAGAACCTGTAAAATGTTTTATAAAATATTGTATTTATTCCTTTACATTTAAATTCTATTAAGCAATAAACATTTTAGCAGTGTTACGGTAGGTATATGCGTGGTAGTCGTCTGTCTGCTAATTCATACACAGAATTATACTAACCGCATAAGATCAGGAAGAATTTCATTGCTCTGGTAGAAGCGAGCGTTTTTAAGGAGAGAGCGTCTGATGTTAGCCCAATTGACGACGGAGAAGAAGTACGAACAAACATAGCCAGCGGCCACTCTATATAGCAAGACTCGGTGCTGAAATGACCTTCCCGGGGCTCAAATGAACGTGCCTAGTTTGCAGGCCGCCTGGCGTTAGAGAAGAGCACGCCATGACTTATGATGATACGTACAAGAGTGAGGTGACCTCAACTCGTCTCCCGACACACGATTTATTCATCACGCCAGGGATTGACCCAGGCTGCTCACTCATTTCTTCCAATTCAGAGACAGCTTCACGTCTGTGCAACCCATGCACTCTCGATTCCACATTATGAATGTGGGTCATGGAACTTCTTCGAGAATTATATTTAAATTAGATCTATCTTGATAGGACCTAATGAGGGGCTTCAGTTCAGAAATAAGATGGTCTATCTGAATGCCCAAGCTAAATCCTGAGGTGTAAATGGAAAGAAAATCGAATAAATACTTTTCAGAATATAAATATCATTTATACAGTTGAGACTCTATTTATTGCCTTAGCTAACTGTCAATGCAACTATTGGAGTCTCACCTGCAAGTGTTCACTGTATGCAGTAATTAATCAGATATCCATTATTATACTGCTTTTTAGGAGTCGAATTCTTTCCAGTAGTACAAGCAAACATCAATGATACTAGTCAGTGGTGTTGGGAGTGATCAGTGCAACTAATAGTGAGTGGTGCAAGCAATGGTCAGTATAGTAACGCTGCATACGAAATTACAGTTAGATGATGATCACTACTTAAATAGCATCATGTTTGTCACTCTTTTTGCCTTTTGGAAATATGATAAACTCATAAAAAACTCATTAGCCGCCCATTTTTACTCACCATAATTTAAATCACGATTTTAAAAACTTAAACTTAACCTTATCTATTAATGTATATATTGGTTGATCAGTCTTTTTCATTTTCACCGCGAGTGATAAATGTTTTTTTTCTATTTTTTCGTTTTTTCACATACAGTTGTTTCATTAAGAGTAAATTGCTTGATTGAAAGTTGAAAAGTGCAAAAAAAATTCTGAATTCTATATTTGCTGCTTTAAAGTGAAAATATTTTTGTCTATAGAATTTAATTTCAAACGATCTTACATTTGCTAATGCGTTTCATAATAGAGTGAAGAGGTGCATCAAGCAATAAAAAATTATTTGCTCGGTTTTCATGTTTCTAATTCCAGTCTATACCCTTTATTTAGGAGTATAAGTCTAAATTTTATTAAATCAACTTAAATTTGCATTCTAGATCCTTCCTGCAAAGATAAAAATCATGCACTGATTTTTTTTAAACTGTTTAATTTCGACTAATTTGACTGTCCGAATCATCAGAAAATGTTCGCAAGATTACGAAACGAAAAAATCTATTCTGACAACACGGGTGTTGAAATGTTAATTACCTGTAATGTCTTTTATAGTTCGCGAGAAGAGGCTGCTTGAAGGAAACTGCAGTCAAAACTTTGAAAGCCATTTTAAAACAGCGCAAGAGAACGGAAAACTTTTGAAATAGCTTCGGATAAAACTCAACTAATTCAAATATCTCAGAGAAACTGTATGATGTTTGAAACAGAATTATGCAGGATGCTTAAAGCTTAGTTACACGTTTAGACGTTCTACATATTGTATAGCGCTGCGAATACGGGCTTTACGGTGCGGTAAGATTCTAGTGCTCATTAATTTTGCAGTTATGAAGAAGTTTTACATATCCATGAAAAACAAACCACCATAGAATGAGGATTAATACAAAAAATATTCCCAATTTAATATCTGCAAACTTGAATAGTTCAAAACAATTTCGATGTAATTCGTTTCGACGTGATTTGATGTTTGAAGCAAATAGAATATATTACAAGCTGGCCTTTTAAAAATTTGGTGCAATCAAGCGGAAGTTATACTTACTGTATATTTGTTCAGTTGACATGTGCCTACCGATTATCACGGTTTGGAATCGTGACAAAAGTAATTTCACGACCTCTCGAAATAATTAGTCGATTCAGTGCACACAAACGAAGGAATTCAGCGTTTGATCACGTTAATTGAGGTTGACAAGGTACGGATGTAATCGAGATGATGCCCGCTTCTTCGTCCTCGATGGTCGTCAGCAATGCTCTATACAAGCATTGGACTCATGCAGCACTTTTTACTACGTGAACTTTAGAATTAAAAAAATATATATAGGTTCTATTGATCGTTTATAGTTACTCCGATTCACCTAATATAATTTAATAAATTTTTCGGATTTACGCCAATGATTTTACTTATGTGGTTTCACCTTTTTAAAATTAGCTTACTCATAGGTCGCTGAGTGAGCTAACATGCAACATGTAACAACTGTCGAGCCAATAAGGATCAATGTATCCGGAGAAGAAATCCCAAGAAAATCTCCGCCTACCGACTAGTTCAGATAGTCCACAGTGTCCTCACTTTCACTTGTTTTTGACGACTTCACGTTTGGTGAGGTGGTCCACACAATGGATCATGCCCTTTGATCGCAATTTTTAGGCCGTATTGGCCACTGAGTAAAGAAGAGAACGTGCTCCGTTGAATGACCCTGTTCAGCCATTAAGCTCCTTCTTCAAGTCTGAGAACGTCACTTCAGTGCACTTCAAAATGCAAAGTAAGCGATAGGTCTACTTGAAGCGATGACGAAATGCGAGCCGCTCCCCGCAATTGGAAGTCGTGCTTAGGATGTGACAAATGAAAGGTCATTAGCACCTCTCATCTAAAGAATCAAAGTTCGATTAAGCAAAGGGGGTTGAGAACCATTTCGTGCATGGTGCAGGCATGACAAAGCTCATTATCAAGGAGTTAATGCGCTCGCTGCTTACATTGTTTATGAGATCGGGCATCGACGGTTGTAGATCACGACCAATATACGAGGAGGGCAGTCGACTCAGCATCTTAACTGGGGTAAAAATTTTTATTTTTACTCAATATATTTCTCTAGTTTTGAGAGACAACATTTTTAAGGTCAATTTTAAAAATAGAATCGCATTTTCGTATGGAGTATAGAATTCAAACTGAAGATAATCCTTGAACGTCCAGAGGTGGTGGAATCAAAATGAGACACTCTGGATGACGGGCGCCTGATAGGTGCCTTTGATAAGTATCATGCCTTCACTCATATTAAATATCATCGTTACTGATCTCCATTATTCGAGGATTGAAGCTTACGTTCAAAAGACAGAAAATTTAACCTCGACCCAAATATACGTGAGAAGCTTGCATCCATCACACGATACATCAAAATTTGCGCATACATCACAACTCATCGATCAGCAACGGCTCAAAGCTTTTAGACTTGAACAAATGATCGGCATGCGCTAAGTCGATGAACTGCCATCGTTCTGACATGAGCTTGTAAGTCGGAAAACATGGTTCATGACGAGCTGGGATCTCGTCAGCAGCGACCCACTAATTATTATCAATAACTCCACCAACGGTAACACGACCATGACCCTTGTGGTTATTCTACGCCGACCTTACGTTCTTCCTTACTCTAAACGAAGACGCATCTGCTCTTATTTGTCCGCCGCTTCTTAGTGAGCGACGTACTCGTTCACACGCGCGGCACGCGGTCGCCTGGATTGCGGATATGAAAAAGTCGGCCGTCAAAACATGTACGAGTCGCAAGACTTGCGATGAGTTTCAAATTTATAAAACTTTATTTAGAGCATTATTTAGTAAAAATTATAAATAAAGTTGTCTTATGCCACCAGGTATAAATTTCGTCAAATGTAATGAATGTATCGGTTATGAAGCTTGGCCGGAAATACGTAAATGCTGGGCACACGTAGGAAATTTGTCTGAATTGCTAGATCGTAACAGACATTAGTTTACTAATAACTGCCGTCATACTCATAGTTTAGTGACAAAAATTGAGGTGCATATATTAAAAAATAATTGAAGCATTCTGATTTAGTCATTTCTTCTTTAGTTGTAATGGAATACAAAATATAATTTACTTGCCTGTTCAATATTATAAACTTATTTGAGATTTTAGAGTTATTTAATTGGTCAAATTGTGGGTCATACCTCCTCCCAGCGATGCAGCGTCTCATTAATTACAGCGTGTCACGAAATTCCCGGCATGACACCTGCAACTGCAGTCCCGCCACCTGGTGTATGAGGGCATCAGGCACGACAGCTTCATTTGCTGGCAGCGCTATATAGGAGGAGCGCGGCGACAAAGAACATCCATGACTGTGGCGCTCCTAATTGCAGCTCCTGCCACACGCGGACGCGATTGTGTCACCCGAGAATGTAGCTGAGTTCTCGGAATCGTCGCAAGCCTTAACGAAACACGTTTGTCAAAATTTGCACTGGTTGTACATGTGGTCAATTAACGACATATATGGCGGAGAGCGGCTAGTTTTTTTTAATAGCTGAAAGCCTGGTTACTTTTATTGAGCTAACAATCACAACAGCCTATTGTTCAAAATCAGCTCAAGCGTCGACCTTGTCATGTTACCCTGCAGCGCTTCAATGGCGTCGTCGCTGTCAACGTGATCCCTAAAATAAAATTATCATTTTAATAACTAGGCTAATGAGAATTCTGTTCCTGGTCTTGGTTATTCATTCTGAATAGTTTCCCTCTGTCATGATGAGAAGAGACAGCCCTGTCTTTATGTCGTCATCTACTTACTCAACCTCCGTGCTTCTCAATTATGGGTCGTCAGTGGCCGCACTGCGCTGATGGCGCATGCGCAGGTCATCAGACGCACGGCACTGCCAGCATGGGCAGCGCGCCCAACGCTGGATTCGATTACGCGTAATGCAGTTACGCATAATGAGTTGCCATCGTGATCAGCTGCTAGCATGATAAACACTTAATACCGCCTGAGTGCTTACTTATGTATTAGAAGAAATTGAGAACATGTTTTGACAAAAAGAAAATGCAAGCAGCTTGGATATGAAGAAATTTATAGAATTTTTTTCTGCTCACGCAGCGTTTGCTGCTGTCAACAACAGATACTCTGCGGTACTCAACCTCAGCTCTCGAAATA